TTAATTTTACTTTATATTTGTTAGACATACATACCTCTTTAATTTCATTTTTAGACCGTGAATATTATAGATATAGCAACGTAATGGTTTTCTCGACAAATTGATAAATATAATAACGAACACGCGTGGCGTTAGAGTCGAATAGTTATACTTATTAACTTACCCAGAAAATGCGGAATGAGAGGAGAGTAAAGCATTGTGAAAAAGTATTTCCTGATACATCAGCTAATAAAGCCCTCTTCTTTCTCCTGTGAGCGCTTTTATATTAGGACATGCCAATCATCGTTTGACCTTTAATAATGTTTTAACCCGCTGGCCGAATAACACAACGAACGTTGGTCTCTGTCTCTATGTTATAAGTAATATTCTAGTAATATTTACATCTTTCTAAGAATGTTATCATGTGTTTTGCTTAGGGCACATTTGTAAACTTACCCACAAGCTTCCTATCGGATCATATTGTGTAGAAGGAGAAATATTTCTTCGACAAAAGATTAATTGTTTGCTGGTATCACTAAAATATATATGCGAAAAACATTTATCTTACAAAAGATAAAGTCATCATGTGGTGGAATTATTTCTATACTAAATGCTACTACAATCAAAATGCAAGGTCTTCAGTGGATGAACGTATTACAATATGATGCAAACTTCATAAAAGGAGCTACGATTCTTATTAATTTAGCAGAAACTCCGCTATCTCATATTATGAACCTACCTTATAATAGGGGACTTTCTTCTACAGTTGCGTCCGGCATTGCAAATCCGACGTGTTGGAGGGTGCTCTTTTGCATTCGAGTGAGCGAGAGAGGAGAATAGGATAGAAAGGGAGGAAGAGTACTCCGACGCCTCGGATTTGCAATGCCGAACGCAGCTCTTATTTAAACATTTTATTTGTCCTTCTACTGATTGGTTTAGATCGCATTCGCGCCGCGCATGCGCGAGTGAAGCGCGGTACCATCGCAGATCGGAAGTGGCGCTCTTCACGGTCCTTCTTGTGTCGTGCACGTGGAACGGGTGAGCGTACTGGTTCAGCGCTGATCAGTTTTGCTGTGTACAAATTGGTTATCTCGACCAGTGCGAAGGATCAACCATGGTAAATAATTCCGGCAATGCCGATTAACAATTAGAGACTTACTTTTTTACCGTAACGACGACATAACCGCGTCGTACGCGGCGCGTCGAGTACCGAGTTAGGTTAGGCGTCGCCGGAACCGAACTGGGACGCGCTCGAAACCCGAACGAGCGTCCGCGCGACGTATATTTGCGGAGAATCTCGAGAGAAGATTGTTGTTAATACGCTACAAACATCTTGTAACATTACACGTGTGCGTTTGTAAGAGAGTTAACTCCTTAATTTTTTCAGGCGACGACCAAGGTCGACAATCCTGAGAAGCCAGGACAAGAGGTCACTCCCATTCATCGAATTAGAATCACGCTCACGTCGCGCAATGTTCGGTCCCTCGAAAAAGGTGATCCAGTAAAAGTGCCGTTGCTTTTTGCCAAAATCGAATTCATTCCGTAGACGATTGGCATTTCAATGGCCGTGTTCGGTAGAAAAAGCTGCTACAAAACTATTGTAGAACTCGAGTCTGATTAGAGTATGCTATTAGACTTGGGTAGGATTAAGAGCATACGCTAGTCAGATTCTAGATTTTTGCAACAGTTGCAAAGGAGCCTTTTCTGCCGCATGCAGCCGTTATATAACTTTCACAAGCACAATTCGATAAATAACCCATTGTCGTTTGCGTTTTAGTGTGCGCCGAATTAATCAACGGGGCGAAAAAGCAAAAGCTGAAGGTCAAGGGACCTGTTCGCATGCCGACGAAGATTCTGAGAATAACTACCCGTAAAACACCGTGCGGCGAGGGTTCGAAGACCTGGGATCGCTTCCAAATGCGAATTCACAAGCGAGTGATCGATTTGTATTCGCCATCGGAGATTGTGAAGCAAATCACAAGCATCTCCATCGAGCCTGGCGTAGAGGTGGAAGTGACGATCGCTAATGAATAAAGTGTCATTAAGATCACAGTTTTAATAAAAATATATGAAAATTTGAAACATGTATCAATACGTCTTCAAATACCTATATTATTATTAGAAACGGAGCTCGACGTACGCTTTCATTCCAATGGTTTTTTTTCAATTTGCAATCTTCCCCTGAATCAAACGTATGCCCTGGCGAAAATAACAAGCGTTAAATGAAGGTTTTTTAAAAGTTCATGCGCTTTCAAACTTTGTGACAATGCTTACACAACGCTGCTGCGTTTTGAACGCTTATAAAATACTGTGTATAACGTTTCATAAAAGTTCTACAAGGCTAAGTTAAAAAATGCTATATACAAACGTTTTCTAAACGCCGCAACGTTGCAATTTCCGCTCTACAAATTCTCTATTGACCGTTTCTAAACTCTCAACGAACTCCTGCAAACGCTCACGTAAACGCTACTTACACTTAGCGCGAGACACTACCGTATCTCGTGATATACAAGCACTTGTGAAACTTAATTTTTGCCAGGGTATCGCTGGACGACGCTCGATATATTACGAACGGGTGATTGGAGCAATGCTTCGAGTTCTCCTTATCAAGAATACAAACACCTGTCTTGAGATCATTTATTGTATACCAAGTCAGTAGAAAATTTTGTTTTTATATAAGTTTTATATAAGTTACAGTAATTTATTTTTTACAACTCTCACGCTCGTACTCGGCGAAAAGTCATGCTGGCGTGTCTCCCCGGCGAGGCAGTAGAGCCATTTTATTAAGCTTCTAACTGCAATTGAAAAAACACATGCGAGTATCCGCTAATTAATCGAATGTGTACTTTATTATTCTGACAAATATATATATATGTATATGCGTATGTATATATTCAATTGTCTTCGTCGGACACATCTTCTTTATCGTTCTGATCGAGCGCTTTGCCGTTCTGTTCGAAGCCTTTGCTGTTCCGCTCGCCGCCCTCGCCGTTACTGAAATCGCCCTCCATTCCTTCCACCTCGTCCTCGTCGTCGCCAGCCACCTCCGCGTTTTCGAGCTCCGCTCGTTCCATTTGCCGCGCCAATTCCGCCTCGTCCGTCGCGGTAACGACTTTCGGCTAATATTGCAGAAAAGAAACTCTACAGTCCTCGCCCCCCATTACGGTACGCAGGAACGATTTGGATTGATATACTCGAGAAACCTACCGCCATTTGAACATTGAATACACCACCGAGCGACGTTATCTTACTCTGTATGACTTCGATGGCGTCGCCCAGCGCCTTCAAGCCGTCCTGCTTCTCCGGTGTAGACGTTGTCATGACTGAAAGTTACATACAAGATACAGCACTGCGATCTAATACAATCAGACGAACAGTGTGAAAGGTAGCGGAGATGATAACATTGAGCGTACCGTATAATGGAGGAGCAATTAAGTTAATTTTGATGGGAAGCTCGTCGGTGGAGAGAGCCAAGCCAGCCTTCAGCGCGGTCTTCACGGCATCGATCCCTTCGTAGCCGTAACACGCCACCTCCACGTCCGCTCTAATTTTCACCGCTTGCGAAGTGAGCTTTCGCTTGATATTATTCAGCAGCACTTCCTTCGTGTCTTCGTCCAGGCCGCACTCTGCCAAAATGGATGGATCCCTGGAATTCGCAAATTCACAAATATAGCCTCAAGTACGCCAGGCGACGTAAACCAGATCTCCAATTGGATTCTGCTTACAGCACCGATTGCTTGAAAAAGTCATAAGCGGACGCCTTCTGCTTCTTGTACTTTTCCTCAAAGTGCCAGGCTGTTTTCTGATAGAGCTCCTCCAGCTGATCGTCGTTATCGTAGTGCAAGAGCTCTGCCACGTGTCTCAAGATCGAATTAACAGCCTTCGCCTTGGCGTATCGCTCCGTGCACTTCTCCACGTCCTCGGCGGACACGCGACGCTTGCTCAGATCGATGTAACCTAGAAACCGCAAAGCCGCAATTCGCACGCAGACATTGAGAATCGACAAAAGAACGTTTCCAGGACATACCTTTCTCCTTGTCCACGCGAATAACAACAACCGGCTCGGTTTTGCCTACCCGGATGAGTTTGTTAATGGACCTAATACGCCTCCTAGAGAGTTCAGAGAGCAGGATCATGCCCTCGATGTTGTTGTACTCCAGCAGATGCACGTACGCGCCCATCTCGGCTATGCTGCGTACATTCACCATCACCACGTCCTCCACCTCCGGGTACTTTTCCTTGTAAAATCGACACGACAGCACCATGTTTCACTGCAAACACACGTGGATCGTATACAATACGGCGGCGTCGTAGGCGACACCCGCGCGACACGGGAAACGGGTGGCGTGAAATTCGGCGAAAGTCTGTCCCGTCGACCGTCGCGAGAAACGCCGAGCCCCTCGGTCGAGGTGTTTTTAACCGCGGGAGACGCGAGGCGATAGGTTAATTTGTAGGTTAGTATTCCGGAAAGGTGGCGAGGAAACCGTCGACGCCGTTCCGGTCGTTACCTAAGCGATTACTCCCGCGCGTAGGTAAATCCTCCCGTTTATTTCGCGCGTAACGGACTGAGCTGGGAATTTTTAAAAGCCACGCGCAACCCTCGCTGGCTTTAAGTTACCCTCTTTATGAAGAGACGTCGCCCAGCGTGGTTCATTGATCTGTTCTTTCTCGACTTTTCGTTTGCACCTTTTACACTTCTTTTCACGCTGAAAGCGAAAAGCGAGGACTGACGAACGTGAATGAGCGCAGCCAATTTTTAAAGCCAAAGCTTCAGATATTTGTGTACAGCGCAATTCTCTCGCTCCGAATTTATCTGGCACGACTACGAGCAAAAGAATTATTTGTATTTTTGTGTGCACAATGCGATAATGGCGGAAATATTTCTTAAAATATCCCTCTTACAATTTCTCAGGGGATTTTTACATAAACGTTAGAATTTCTCACCAGTTTCTCTACATAGTTTTAGAACTTTTAGAACGTTTATTGAACTTTCTTGTACGAATTGCAGCATCTGCAATTCTTCAATTTCTGTACACACAAAATTCTGAAATATTCTACAAAAATGTGCGTCTTAAAAAATGGTCTTTTAGCACTAAATTAAAATAGCGCTAACAAAATTTTCTAAATTGACATTTTTCCGCTCACGTGTGCGCAGGCATTTCAAATACCAATTATTAGACAAAAGAATTTATATCGCGGTTATAAATTTTAACATATTTCGCAGATTCGCGCGCGCGCGCGCGTCGATGATTATCGGCCGAGCGGCCGATAAGTCAGGCCGCTGCCGCGACTCCCGGCAATGAGAGAATTAATGCACCTTACTGTACACAGGTGTACACTATCTCCAATGACAATCGTTTTCGTGCGCGAGGCCCCGATACCGTCGATCACGGCGCGCGATATGTCACGCTCAGGTTAGAGGACGGCAGTTTACGATGATCAACAACGACGGTGACGGCGTGACGATGACAGTGGTACGCGCTGTCACCAGCAGCGCGTAGTGCGGACGGGGAATCCTGGGCTGCCGTTCACGCGGGAGCGAGCGGGAGAGCGTCGTTGCGCCGCGCCGAGCCGAGCCGAGCGTCGGACACCTGGGTGATACCCGTGAGACGCAGAGTCCGCCTTCCTAGGGCGAGAGGAAGGAAAAGATGCCGTTAGTCGTGAGGAATTGCCCGCACCTGGCGAACCGCGGCGATCTCGCCTTCATCGAGGCGGTGATGGCCCGGGAGGAGCGTTTCGCCAAGTGCAGCGACTGCGACACCCCGGGGCCCAACCTCTGGCTCTGCCTGTTCCCCGATTGCCGTTGGGTCGGCTGCGCGGAGACGCACCTCGACCACAGCACCATCCACAACCAGAACTTCCCGACCCACTGCGCCCACATGAACCTGTCCACAAACAGGATCTGGTGCTACGCCTGCAAGAGCGAGGCCATCATCAAGCACGTGCCGTCGCCGCCGTTGTCGCCGACGCAGGTGGAGTTTAAGACTATGGGCAACAAGTACGCCGGGGACGCTCCCGGCAGCGTCGAGTCCAAGCTGGACGGCCTGGACAGGCTGATGCTCGATAAGTAAGTAAACGCGTCAGGTGATGCTGAAATCTGAGAAACGCGTCCGCAGGAGAGGGCGTTTGCCCTCCCTGGAATCGGCAATTTAGCATTTGCTCTTCCTTTGATGAAGAGGATTTGCATCTGTAAGTATTTTAGTTGTGCAAGTTTGAGCCTTGTCCCTCTCTCTGGAAAGAGTCCTGCGGACACCCTTGGCTGGCAAAGTACTTGCGCATTCTCGTTCTGAGACAAACCGTATCGTTGACTCGAAAACGGTTGTCTGCTATCTCTGGAAACTGGGCGATTGATCCTCGTGTTCTCATCTGTAGTAAAATTCGCTCCGTGTAAATGCGTTAAAACTACAATTCTGTGGGGGGAAAAAAAAGCACTCGACGCGTTGTTTTGTTAACAGGTTCTATGGAGATTGGTCGATAAACAGAGTCAATTCGGAGAAAGGGAGTTCATTCAACGAACGATCCGGGGATTCGCCCGACAGTACGGATTCGGATGAGAGCAAGGACTTCTCCGGGAAGCCGAGGGGTCTTGTGGGCCTGCAGAACATCGGCAACACGTGCTACATGAACGCGGCGCTGCAGGCCCTGTCCAATGTGTCTCCCTTGACTCAGTTCTTCTTGGATTGCGGCCATATGGTCAGTTACATGTCGAAAGACAGGAAACCTGGGCTTAGTCTCAACTATCTGAATCTTATTCGGGATATGTGGAACAAGAAGACCAGGGGGTATGTCGTGCCGCATGGCATCCTCTCGGGTATCAGAACGGTCCACCCGATGTTTCGAGGATACCATCAACACGACACGCAGGAATTTCTCAGATGTTTCATGGACCAGCTGCACGAGGAGCTGAAGGAGCACATCGAGGACGACAGGGACGTTCAGTTGCGGCTGAAGGGATTGGGGGACCAGTCCTCCGAGGACGAGGACGAGACCGAGATCGACGGCAATGCCTCCAGTCAGTCCGACGCCGAATACGAGACCTGCGACTCGGGCGTGAGCGAGCAGAGCTCCCTGAGCGACGAGGGTGAGCGCGGCACGAAGAGGCGATACTCGCGCGTGTCGCAGACGGAGAAGCTGCGGACCAAGTTCACCAACAGGAGTATGAAGAAGTCGAATGTCGAGCCGACGTTCGCCCCGCCGCAGCGCTCGCCGCAAAACTCGCCGGCCAAGCACCGCACCAAGAAGCAGATGAAGACGCGCAGCATCATCAGCGACACGTTCGACGGCAAACTCTTGAGCAGCGTGCAGTGTCTGACGTGCGATCGGATTTCCACGCGAGTGGAGACCTTCCAGGACTTGTCCCTGCCGATCCCGAGCAGAGATCACATCGACATGCTACATCAGGGATCGCTGACGCCGCAGAAGGCCGGCCCGTGCTCGGACGTGGTCTACGTGACCAATCAGTCGGGCTGGCTGTCGTGGTTCCTGCAGTGGATGCGCTCGTGGTTCTGGGGACCAGTGGTTAGTCTGCACGACTGCCTGTCCGCGTTCTTCAGCGCCGACGAGCTGAAGGGCGACAACATGTACAGCTGCGAGAAGTGCAACAAGCTGCGCAACGGCATCAAGTTCTCCAAGGTCCTGGAGTTACCCGAGATACTGTGCGTTCACCTCAAGAGGTTTCGCCACGAACTCATGTTCAGCTCGAAGATCGCCAATTACGTATCGTTCCCCCTCGAGGGTCTCGACATGAGACCCTACTTGCACAAGGAGTGCGTGTCCAAGGTCACTACTTACAACCTGATCTCGGTCATCTGCCACCACGGTACGGCCGGCGGTGGCCACTACACCTGCTACGCGTTGAATCCCATCGCCAACAAGTGGTACGAGTTCGATGACCAGTGCGTCACGGAGGTGTCGCCGGAGACGGTGAAGCACTGCGAGGCGTACGTGCTGTTTTACAAGAAATGGTCGCCGGAGATACTGCAGCTGCGCGACAAGACCATGGAGCTGATGGAGATATCGTCCCGCGAGGTGTCCGATCTGAACTTCTTCGTGTCCCGGCAGTGGATCAACCGCTTCAACACGTTCTCCGAGCCCGGTCCGATCGACAACTCCGACTTCCTGTGCCCGCACGGGGGAGTAATCCCCGTCAGGGCGCAGTTTGTCGACAAGATCAGCATGCCTATACCGCAAGCAGTTTGGGAATACCTGTATAACGCGTAAGTTCCTGACTACGACAATGTTACTACTTCGTTCACGTCACGTCTTCCTTTTTACACTTGTACCTCTCTAATTTTAATTTCTTTTCTCAGATTTGGAGGAGGCCCAGCTTGCACGCACCTGTACGAGTGTCCAACCTGCGAGGAGAAGTACGAATCCCTGCAGAAACGCAGGCAGTACGAGATGGAACTATTCCAACGGTTGAACACCGACAATCCCACGGCCATTTACGCGTTGGCCATGGCGTGGCTGAGGCAGTGGCAGAGCTTCGTCCGAGGCAAGGAGACGCAGCCACCAGGACCAATCGATAATAATTCCATCGTTGTAAATAAAAATGGGCAAAATAGTCTTAAAGTTGGTAAGTCTTTCTCTATAGACGGAGCAAGTCTTATTTCTTTTTCGTCTCGATAATTGGGTGCCGAGTCGTAATTGTCAGATTATGAAGGAAAAGTGTAACGTTTCATGTTTTCTTCCCTTCGCTCTTGTTCTCGCAGGCTCGGACTACGGTCAGATCCCCGAAGAACTGTGGCAATTCTTCCTGACTACGTACGGCGGTGGACCAGAGCTAATGCTGCACTCGTGTCAACGACCGGTGCCCGCTCAGCCTAACGTTTCTATACATTCCGCGTCGAATCCAAATTTGATAGATCCGAGTCTTAAGTGCAATCGCGTAGAAGCTAAGTCCAACAAACTTTGTACGACCAGGAGCTCGGAGACGATCTCGCAACAGGACAGCGCGATCGAGAGCCTAATTTCAAGCAGCGACTCCCATCAGACGCAGAGGGACGTGAGCGAGTGAGTAGACGCGTGCGAATTGCAATTTCGCAGCCTCGTTCGCTACGACGAACATTTCCATTGGTTTTCATTAAGTTTAGCCTCTAAGTAAAGTCAAATTATTCTACTTTCGAATTTTTGCGCTTTCGAAGTTTCACGCTCAGATCGAACGAAGCTTAGCGCTTCCTCGTTAGATTGTTAAAGTCGATCTCCGATACCTATGTATGGAAATGAAACAATCGCTGTCGTTCTTTTTTGGCGAATTGACGGTGAAAAGACAATCGGATACTTTTATACCGGTAGCGATTTTTGTACGAAATTTGTAAAGCCGAGTTGTGTGCGTCACTTGCTAAATCTGAAAGTAATCGAGCCAGAAGGAAGAACCATATGAGTATGTGATCGAATGACTGCGTTTTATTGTAATATATAGCGCGACATATCTCGACGGCAATTGTATTTTGTCATAATATATAGCAACATATTAATCTTGAGAGAACTGAGGGCAGAACACTTGTCTCTCGGTTCGCTATGGGAAGAAGTCATCGAGAAATGCCATACTCTCGAACACGTTCTTCTTTCGTCTCCAAATTATCGATTTGGAATATGGAATGACACCGATTGTTTCAAGTTCCATCGCTCTCTGACGCTGCAAAGTGTCGCGATTGCGCTCGTTCAGCGGCGTGAAATTTCACCGTATGTACAACTTCATCGACGGGAATATTGTGTATGATGATGGGAAACGTAGTTATAGTACAAAAGAAATTCATAGACGACTATATTATTTAAATACAAATCTTAGCTCGTACTTCTTTCTCGCCCAAAGTCTAGGCCGTAACGTCGCGCGACCTCGTATAGTTGTATCACATATTTTCGATGTTTGTACATTTGCCGGCGTGTGCGTGTGTGTATCATTCCTGCACGTAAATACCAGGTGGCTTTCCTTTTTCTCTTTTTCGAAGCTCTGTACATAACGTCGTTACTTTTTCTCCGTTGGCGGTAGCCTCTCATCCGGAAGGAAAAATAAAAGATATGGAAGACTGACAGATCGATTTTATTTTAAAAAAAGAAAGAAAGAAATGTTCAGTTAACTGTACGATTTAGCGGCAGGTGAGTCGCGAGATCGAACGCAAAGAACCTCTTTTTACATTTTATTCTTGAACGGAGGCAATATTGTTATTGTTATTTAGTAAATTTATCGCTGTACGTACACATATTTTTCATAATGTTCACAAAGCCAGCGAGGATTTCTCGTAGCGTACGATTCGCCGATTCCTCACGCCGTTTTTTTAATGTGAAACAGTTGAGCTTGGCAATTATTTGTTTAAGCGACGAAACGTGCTTCTTAAGGCTCCTGTTTTCTACAGCCGCGTTAAATATTATACGACGTCAGAAAGATTAATCATTGATATCTTTTCTGCACGTCGAGATAACTTAGTTTTCCGCGTGCCATTACGTTAAGCGTAACAGAAATCTTGTCTTATCTCACTTTATATGTTTGCCTCCTTCTGGCAAAATTTTTACACAATGTTCAAGTATTTATCGAGCACCGCTATCGTCTGTATTATGTGTCACAGGTTGACTTTCATGGTTTATGATAGTTGAAAATTTATTTAGAGTATTTGATATTATGGTTCATAATATGTTAGATTACAACATATATTCCCTATATGCCGTGTTGTGATAAATATTTTCAAGTTTATATATCATGATTTGTTGCAATAAATTGCCTAAACAATTAAATAATTTTATAATTATTTAATGACTTTGCTACGAGTTCATAAAGCTTTAGTCTAGAAGTAGGAGCTTAGTAAAAACACTTGGCGATTATAAATACTTGGACATTTTGTATTAAAAGAGTGCACGCACACATTCTCTCTCCTTCTCTCTAGTACTTAAGAAGCGTGTTCTATCGCATAGGCCGTTAATTGCGTAGTTTAATTACTTTACGTTGGTAAAAAAGGAAAAAAACAAAAAGTGTCACGAGCTACTCGTGTGAGCTCAGTTGTGTTTCCGTGGATTCCGTGTCTTGTTACCGAGAATGTTCGTCCTCGTATAACGATTTTAATACCACAATTACGAGGAGGTAGAGGAAAAACGCAATGCGAGCTCCACTCGCAGGGACGCAAACAATTTTAAAGAATTGTTAAGGCCAATTGTCTGTAATCATTATCCAGAGCGAAGTGCGTAAGGTGAAAAATAAATAAGTTGGTTTCTTTATTTATTGAAACATCTGGACTATGTCATTTCCAGGCAAGTGCGCGTTTCTTCGTAGTCTAATTGTAGAGTATAATAAACCTAATTAATTTTTTACAGCTATGGAATTTGTCGTTTTACAGTAAATCGATTCACCGTGGTTTCCTATTAAACAAAGAATTAATGAAAACCAAATCTCTCGCAAGTTAGAAATTCGCAATTGCAAAACGTCGAGTCACGATTGATCGGAGCGAAATACCAATCCTGAGAGTCCACGGTATTACAAAGAATTTCCTCGCGCAATGCTGCGCAATAACTGCAATCGCATTCTGTAAGTTTAATTAAGAGCACCAAGTTCTCTTAATGTGTCTAATCTACTTCTATTTGATACAACAAAAGATTGTGTGATTAACAATGAATAAAGATTTAAGCGTTTCCTCGAAGACCACTCTGTCGTTGGTATCAACCCTGAAAACGTCGCCTCCCTCGCGCCGGACATCGGAGGAGCACGAGGTCATCTTTGAGGAAGGGAAGCGGACGCGAGTCGCATCCGCACGGCCTCGCGATTAATCCGAGTCGTAGTTCTTCCACACTAAACGCCATGAGCGATGAGCGATATCCAATAAGAGTTGTATTTTTTCGAAAAAATAAATCTCTTATTGGATATTGCTCATCGCTCATCGCGGCTCATCGCGTCTAGTGTAGAAGAGTCGTCATGCGTGACTCGCGCGATCATCCGTATATCCGCTTAAGGGTCGCGGGTCTTATCCCACCCTCGTCTCGAGGGGGATGCGTGGATACGGCGTTACGGGCGAGAGGCAGGCGCGAGATGACGATACGTCTCTCTCTCTCGTGGAGCATCGATCGAATCCTGCGCATTCGGGGGTGGCTGGCCATATTACCCCCGCGATCTCCCGATCCCTTAAAACGCCGCCGTGGTCCCCGCTGCTGGTCGATGCCGCGGATCGACGGGTTCGCCGCGATTTTGGCCTCGCAAGCCGCGGTGTAGATCGCAGATCGGACAGCCTCGTTGTCATCATGCGGCTCCGTAACCCAGCTAGTTAGGTAGTTCTCGCGTCCTCGTCTCGATTCCTCTCCGTTTTTCTCTCTCTCTCTCTCTCTCTCTTTCCCTCCTCATCTTTCTTTTCTTTCCTCTTCGCGTCTTCATGAAGCCTCGCTTTCGACCGGGGTCGCGGCCGTTTTTAGTTTAATCGCTTCCACGCCGCGCGAGGCTCGAACGTCGGGGAACCGAGGTGCGGGATCTCCCCAGGAGGAACATCCGAAGCGGGCACCAGATTCGCCATTTGGTAAGCACGATTGTCACATTGATAAATGTACAATACGAATACTCTAATCCGAGGCGTTAAGGACTCTGTTCTGAGACTTCTATGTAACGAGAGAGAGAAGCCCTCCACACACATCTTCGATCTCTACAAACCTCTACAAACGTATCCCCCTTTGCATGCCGCTCTCCTCGTTTCCTCCGTTACTAATTGTATACAATTTTTCTCACCCCCCACTTGCATCTTCTCTGTATTTGCAACACCTGCAAGACGCGGACGATTTAAGCTTGGACAGCCGAAATAATGTCCAATGACACGTCACTTACCTCGCTGGGAAAAACGCTATTCTTCACCCCCCTCACCTCTACAGTCACTGTCTTCCGATTTATCGTACGGGACTGCGTCTGTAAGGGATTAAACATATCGCCGTAGAAGCAACAGATAGGGAGAAATGGCGAATTTCCGTGGATTTTACATACCCTCCTTCGGAGCAACGGTCAACGTCGCCTGGGAGACCCTGAAGGCTATGTGGCCGGAGAAGAGCCCGTGCATGGAGCTGATCCGCGGTGGCGGCATCGGCGGCGGCGGTGTGGGCCAGGACCACCCTCAGGGCCGGCCCAGTCAGGGCCAGTTCAAGTCCTTCGACGAGGGTCACGATAATACCGAGATGATGACCATGAACGGGGAACAGGCGTATCGAGACCAAAACAATGTGGGGATCGCCGAGGACTCCTTCAGCTACCAGAGGAGCGGGTAAGGATACGTCGGTCTCTCGCTCCTACTGCAGATCCAATTGACGGACCACGTCGATTTTCAGGGACAAAGTCAGAACCGGAAGCGTGAGCAGCGGCGAGTTCAGTGAGTACGACGAGGGTGGCGGAGAGTTCGGCGGGCCGGGTGTCAAGATCAACGAATGGCAAGCCGCTTGGAACGTTACAAATGCCATTCAGGTACTGCAGGGGCAAAGAGTATAGAGTCCGGAAAATCTCCGGATTTTCACGAACACGGTCTCCCATTCGAATGTAGAAGCTGAGAGACGATTATTGCGATGTTGTAACATTGAATAGCGAAAAATTGTACGTTACTGCGAATCATCCGTTTTCTCGGGAATTTCTCAGGGAATGTTCATCGTCTCCCTGCCGTTCGCCGTTCTGCGTGGCGGCTACTGGGCGATCGCGGCGATGGTCGGCATCGCGCATATCTGCTGTTACACCGGCAAGATCCTAGTCGAGTGCCTGTACGAGCTGGACACGGTGACGGGTCAACGTGTGCGCGTACGAGATTCGTACGTGGCCATCGCCAAGGAGTGCTTCGGGCCGACGTGGGGCGCCCGCGCCGTCAACATCGCGCAGATCATCGAGCTGCTGATGACCTGCATTCTGTACGTGGTCGTGTGCGGCGACCTGATGATCGGCACCTTTCCCGAGGGCGCGATCGACACCCGTAGCTGGATGATGCTAATCGGCATATTCCTGCTGCCGCTCGGCTTCCTCAAGTCCCTGCAGCATGTCTCCGTGTTGAGCTTCTGGTGCACAATGTCTCACCTCTTCATCAATGCGATCATCATCGGTTACTGTATCCTGGAGATTGGTGACTGGGGCTGGTCGAAGGTGAAGTGGACGATCGACATAAAGAACTTCCCGATCTCGCTCGGCGTCATTGTCTTCAGCTACACGTCGCAGATCTTCCTGCCGACCCTCGAGGGCAATCTCATCGATCGCTCCAAGTTCGACTGGATGCTGAACTGGAGCCACATCGCCGCGGCCGCGTTCAAGTCGCTCTTCGGCTGGATCTGCTTCCTGACCTTTCAGAACGACACGCAGCAGGTGATCACGAACAACCTGCACTCGGCCGGCTTCAAGGGCCTGGTGAACCTGTGCCTGGTCGTAAAAGCGGTGCTCTCGTACCCGTTGCCGTATTACGCGGCCTGCGAGCTCCTCGAGCGCGCCTTCTTTCGCGGAAAGCCGAAGACGCTTTTCCCAACCATCTGGACCTTGGACCGCGAGCTCAAGGTCTGGGGCCTGGCCTGGCGGATCGGCGTGATCGTGTTTACCATTCTGATGGCGATCTTCATACCGCACTTCAGCATACTGATGGGTTTCATCGGTTCCTTTACCGGCACCATGCTCTCGTTTATCTGGCCCTGCTACTTCCATCTCAAGCTGAAGAGAAACACGATGGAGTGGGGCGCCGTAGCGTACGATTGCTTCGTCATCTTCCTCGGTATTCTCTTCGGCGTGATCGGCGTCTACGATTCCGGCTCCGCGCTGATCGATGCCTTCGAGATCGGCCTGCCCTTCTGAGCGATCTCGCGTCAGCTAGGTCGTTTTGTTGTTCTTGTCGTGCACCAAAATGATATTATCGAAACGCTCTCGTGCCGCCGAAATATTTGACTCTCGATTTTATCACGTTGCTCGGTATTCGTGCAATAATTGCTGATGCACGCGGGAGACTATATAAGTTATACAATATTCAAAACAGAAGAGTTGATAATTGAACGGGAGAATTTTGTGCTCTTTGGAAAAGTTAGAAATTTCTCTGAATGGCATTCTGATCAACAGTCCTTTTTTTTCACAAAAGTGCGTCTAGTGCCTGCGAAATCCTTTTTAAATGTGAATGCAATTCATAAAATTCCATTCATAAAATTCCTTGTAAGAAATGTCACTAAATTTGCAACATGTTTGTGAGGTTCAAATGTTTCACGTGCTCGAGAGCGATTAATTAGTATGAGAATTTTGCATTAACTCTATACTCATTTCTCGTCATGTCATTTTAACGGCGCTATTATTTTGATGAAAAACGGCGCAGTTATACTTCTCTAAAATGATCTTTAATTGATCGAACCATTAAAGTGTAAGAGCCTCCTTCCATTCGCGTAAAACTCTATCGCACGATCTGTGCTGTCGTAATGGCACGTTTTAGTTTTTCACGTTGCAAGTTTAAATCACTAATCATTTCAGAACAACAACACGCCAATGATCCCAGGTTCTGATAGCTTCGAGCGAGTGATGTTTAGAAACGTGAAAATCCAAGTTAGACAAGAACTATTTTCTAAACCCGACTGTAGCGTTCTTTTTTTGCAGAAGGAGGTCTATTGACTCCCTAGGGAGCGTTTAAACTTCCGTTTCATGTTTCGACCAGGATTGCGACGTTTCTATAACGCGAAGAGTTTATCCAATCGTCAAGTCTTCCAATCCCCGATCTGCATTTGCGTTCGGGAGCCTTTAGATAATATGAGAGATGAAACGCGTAATGAACGTGACAATAAAGCACGAGGTAACGACGTCTTCCACGATGCAGCAGCAAGCAGAGCGCAGCCTAACTAGTAGTTGACTACTGTTACAGTTTTCTGGATTTTATAATTGTATCGCTGTGCGGAGTTATATACCCGTATATAATTTTTATGCGACGCGTCGAATTGCGAATCGCGGCGACGGGGCGCACGGCGATTTTGTCTGTGCTATGTTAGCGATAGTCGTTGATGAATCTGCCAAATAACTTTTGGGATAGCCCGCCGTGCCGCCCCGTCGCCGTACAAACGAGACGCAAAACGATGCGTGAACAGTTATGTACAACCGAGTACAATTAGTTGTATAATCCAACGTCTTCCAAGATCGTATAGATCGTTAGTTTAAGGAGTATAGGCAATGTAGTCGTTCCGTGAAACTGCAGAATGCTGCGATGGCTCGAGGAGTATTTTATGCGGGCTGTGTCTCGTAAAATGTATTCTATATAGATGATCAGTACCGTGTTAGATTGTGTTTCGATGCTCCACAAATCGGTCAGTTTATTTGGACTCTTGGTATCCTTAGGATAATGTTTAATGACGAAAATGCTTGATTTTACAGAACTTCGGATTCACAGATTGTAGACGCTTTGAATGACTGAATAGGTCTTTGAATATGTAAATCTTTTAAAAGTGTTATTTCTGAAATTCTTGCCGGATCTGTAGATCCTTCGTTTTGCTTCTTTTTCCTCAAAGCCACACGAGCGTTCTGCAGACATGGAAAATTCGCAGACTAACTAAAACGCGTTAATAATCGTGAAACGAGTCTTCCAATAATGTCTTCCAGAACGATAATATTAATAAAAATAATAACAATATCGCTATATGATAATGATGTATTACTATTTATTGAGCAAAGATCTTTGTCGAATGATATCAAGCGTTATATTGAGAACAGTAGATGTTAAGAGTTAACTCATAAGTTACGGTCATGCATAATTGATGTTTCATATCAATGAATATATCAATGACACATAATGTAAGTAAAATCACGCTGTTCACGAAATCAATTTAGATCGTTAACGAGGGATCATCTTACTCCTTTGTATCAACAATGATTATCAAAAGTGGTTGAATGAGAATTGCGTTGGTATCTTCTCTTCGTGATTAACGGACGACGATAGATTGGTAATGTTTGTCGTGTAAAATTTAATTTTGCTTTTTGATATAATCTCGTGAAACGCAAGTCTCCCGATAATCGCGAGTCTTCCACAATCTCTCGTATCAGCTCAGGCTGAATGCTACAACATAAAATCCGTTGTAAAATTCAGAGAAATAGTTGTTTCCAACTAGATAAAGCTAATCACGATGAGATACTTCGAGAATTGATGGACGTTTTAACGGAGAAACGCAAGCACGTATAGGCTTCTAAAGCGCTTTTGCAGAAATTCATATTTCGCAGCGTTTCGAGAAGAGCAAACCTCATCGGTGTTGTGTAGGCAAAATATATCTATAAACGTTATAAAATGATGTAAAGCGGCCTCCGTATTATGAAAAATATGAAAATACATTATCCGCATGAGTACGAGGAGTGACAATATATTAAGAAAATTTTACGAACGTATACTTTACTCGCACTTTACCCGGTAATATAATACACATGTTATTTCTTTTGCAAATTACACCTGCAAGAATAATTGTTTGCGACACGGAATTAAATTTTATTTCAAATGTTTGTTCTCTTATTCAGGTGCATATAGGAGAGAGGAAGGATAAATTCATTGGATATTTCGTTAGTCAATACATGCATATATATATAATTAGATTTATTAACAATGCTTTATTATTTTTCACATTAGAATAATCTCAGAAATGCTATGACTGAAAATAAAACAGAATTATGGAGGCTTGAAGTCCCAAAATAATGTGGATATGGCAACGTCACTTTTTCTAACAAAGAAAATGAAAAGTTTGTCACTGATCAACAGAGTTAGGTTTTCGACAGAAGTGCTCTTGAGAAAATCTAGAATTTTCACTTATGAATTATCGTCGTTTTCGACGCGAGTCTAGTTACTATCTCTAATATGATATACGAAGTATAAAAAAATTAATAATATGTGTGTATATTCTACAGGACTTTATTCCTTCGGAAAATTCAATTCGATCAATTATGAGATATGATTTTCAGTCGCACGAGCCTCCAGGAGTTATCTGATAGTCTTTCAACGAATTATACAAGCAACAAAAGAGACAAAGATAAAAAAACAAATATTAATGCAATATATAAATAAATATCTATAAACCTATAAATTCAAACAACGTTGTCGATCAGTAAAAGTTGCTTTTGCTCTAATATTAGTTATAATCATCATTAAATCTAGTTAGAATTTGTTAATTTCACAACTGTTCTTGATCTGAAACCAGTTTGTTTTATTGCTTGTGCCAAAATATTCTTTGATTGTCATTCGAACAGGAGTGAAGTTTTCTTTCGGATGAATTATTCTTATATTTCATATAAAAATTCGGAGATGTCATATACAGCAACTGTTATTTGCTATTTTTTTTCTATTGTTATAAAAGCGCTATATTTCTGTTAACATAAAATTGTGCATAATATATCTATATTTATATATATCTATGCTGTATATTTATATATAGCATAGACATAAATACATATATATATAGCATTTATATAGTACTCAAAATTTAGAGCAATCTTAAGAGAATCAGAAAAATAAAATTAAACGCGTAATATAACAAAGTATATACGTATGTGTATATATATATAACATATATATGTGTATATATATATATATATATATATATATAAATAATTCTTGAACAAAAATAGAACTGCGATGTATTATCACTTTACGAACTTGCAGTCATCCACGTAACATTCTCGAATGCTTGTTCCAAAAATAAGAATTCGTTGGGAACTATTCGAATAACTTGATTTTCTCAACTCGTATATTGCCATAAAAATTAACTTTTGAAATATATATCACGCATTTCAACAAATATTTATAAAAGCTTTGTCTTCTATCGACGTTATCTATCGGTAACTTACAGTTACATCGTAACATTTCATACATTTTTACTTCGCACTTCCTCCTTTTAGTTTTCAGTTTTGGTCACTCGAAGCTGCCTTTTCTTCTTCTACGTGTAAATCCTCTTTTAGAGATTCTATCTTATCAACTACAATGCTATCTGAAACACTATTCTCTCTGTCATTATTATCTGTGCGTTCTTGAGTTTCATCTATGCATTTTGTTACATCCTGTTTATTACCAGTGTTAACCTTTTCATCTGTAATAGCAGTTTTATCTTCTGTGGTCAAATCTCTTTTCTCCTTTAATGCTTCATTTTCGCTTCTCAGGTTATCATTTTCTTCTGCTATATAATACACATCAATTGGAGATGGAATCACAACACTGTCCACTTCTTTTTCTTCTGGAGAACTTTCCGTTTCGTGCTTAACATCATTTTCTTGCTCACTCATATCTTTAGTTTGTTTATTATCACAGTTATCGCTTAAGATTTCTTTAGTTTCCTCTGACTTATGATCTTCAGTTTTTATTACCGTTTCCTTGGTATCTTTATTAGCATCACATGAGTGTTCGACACGTTTAGTCTCATTTTCATCATCTTTTACTGCTGTAGTTAAATTTGTTTCAGTAGTTTCGCACTCGGATGTCACAATTGCTTCAACATTTGGCAACTCATCCAGTTTGTCTTGCGAATCTCCATTGTTTCTACACATTTCAATCTCTGTGTCAATCTCAGACACAGGTAAATCTAAATCTGGCAAAATGGGCTCATCTTCTCTGTCTGCATGAACCTCATTCTTTTCATTTATATGTAAATTCAAATTGCCATTCTGATTATCCTCAATTTTTATTTCTATATTATTCATATTAGACTCTCCAGAAGAAATTATATTGCTCTGTTTCTCGTTCTCAATCATCAGAATTTTATCATCTTGTAATGGCTCTACAATGTTCTCTTCAGCCTCTTCAGGCTTAGATTGATGAGACTTTTGCGACTCCATATTTTCTGTTTGCGGTGATTCCGTTTCGTGATACTGTTGTACGTTCTCGTCTTCCCTTTTAATTTCTTTCTTACGAAAGTAAGGAGACTTGTTGCTGAAGTCCTTCTTTTTCGGTGGCAGCTGCGACTTTCGCGAATTAGAGGATTTGTGCAGATTTTCATGATAAACGCCTTTTCTGTCTTCAAACGACTTTGGGCGTGAAAAGGACTCGGTATCGGGGGAAGTTACTTCAACGTCTGAATGACTGCTGTACGTTACACGGCTCCTCTGTCGCGGCCCGACTCGTCCCGTTCCAGCGATACTTGGCGAATTTACTGAAACAGTATAATATTGAAAAAAATATTCCAAATACCTTTTACATTCGGGAACGTATCATTGTTGCTTCCAACGTACCTTTAACACTCATGACTGGACCTTTTCCTTGATTCAGCGTGACCTTTATGTTTTTGTCGGTAGCGACAACAGTTCTCTTCTCGGAGCCGGAAAGGTTCTTCACGTGTCCATCCTGGTGATACATGTTGGAAGAGTTTTCATAATTATTATGAAAATGTCGCGAATTTCCCCGATAGGAACGATGACCGCCGCGATTATGGCTTGCATAATCATTTCCTGCGGAGAAAGCAATTGTATGCACACATATCCAACGAACGCGAACGTAATCTAAAAATCTACGGTCCCTGCTTATACAATAAGCGTCTATTAGTTTCTCACCATTAACGTGGTATCTTCTATCAAAGTCTTTATAGTCCTTTTTTACATAATCCCCTAATTTACCCTCAGATCTCGCCACCTCGTCCACAATGTGTGCCTGCAATTGCATCTGTACGTGACCTATCTACGGTAGTTACGGTGGCAACGCACGACTCCTTTTTACGGAGCCCTTACCTTGTCATTATCCCATTCTCTACGCCAATTACCCTCCGCAGTTCTCTGTCTGCTAATGCGATCCTCATCGATACGGTTTCTCTCGGCTCTCCAGGCTTCGTACTCTGGCTGATGCTCATCCCTGTGTGACCCTCTGCTCATTCTATAATCCTTTTCCAAGAAGCGGATCGTTTTAGAACACCGAAATGCGTCTAGGAACTCGGGACGCTTCGCTTCAACTTTTACGTACTCTTTGCATGCCGTCCTTCGCCCCAGGTTTCCTCCTAAACATGCCCCTCGAATACTTTTGCCCTCTACTCGAGTTGTCCTTCGTGCTCTCTCTTTCGCCTTCCTCTCTCTCAGCATCGGCAAGGAAGTTGTACTTAGGATCAGGTGGAGGCCCTTGTCCCTGAGGAAAGGAAGCAGCAATGAGAGCGTTCAAATCTATCGAAGTCAATCTGAAGGTTTGAAGAGAGCCTGGGCTTTCTCTTTTTCCACAACTTGTCGGCGTACCTGAGCAAACGCATGGCCTTTCCGGCCTTCGCCACTCGCAGGCTGGTATTGCTGAGAATGCTCGTGGTGTTCCTTGGCAGGTTTCGTCTTGTTACCCGTTCTAGGTGGATTAGAGAATTCCGGCGGCTCCTTCCTCTCCGGCCAATCCGTAGACGGTACCATTTGCACCAGCGCGTTCAGTTTGGCCGCGTTCTTCTTATCCTCCTCCACTTCCTGCGCAACGGGAACCCATTATTTTTTTTCCCCCCCTCCGCGTGGGACAGCTGTGGCCGTGAGATTGTCCGACTCTTACCTCGTGCCGCCTTCTAATTTCCTCGTTCTGTTGCCTTATCTTATTAATCTTCTCCTCGAGTGCGTTCGCTGCCATCTGCAATTTCGAGAGGCCGAATTATTAAGGCGACGGATTAGAAATAAACACTGGACCCGCTCGCTCCTATCGGGGGAGCCTCGTTAGAAATAACGCGTGACGCTTATAGACCTCCGCGTGCTTGAACGGGCCTCGCGCGATACGGCGCGGCATTCGTGTCACGTCCCTGCGTGCCGCGCGAAGGAATGTCACGCTTCCGAATTCCCCGTCCCCTAAATAAACGATCGCGAGCGGCCGGCCGTCCCCGGGGACCCGCTCCGCCGCGCTGATCCAACGCTAATCCCGACGCGACGGGAGTTCGCGACGCAAAATGCCAGAGCGGGCCGTCGGTGTCTTCCACGGCACGTCGGGCGGCGGAATCGCGAGCTCCGCTGCGCTGATCTCGTAGCCGCGGACACGAGTACGGGCCTCGGTACCGTCGGGCACGAATCTCCGCTGCGCCCAATTGCTAACCGCGGGGTCGGTCGACCGATCGGGTAGGTCACCGCGCTGATGCCTGCGGCTAATTCGACGGCGCGGCCGAGGGTGAGACCCGCGGACGGGAGGACCAGGCCCCCCCGTCCAGGCGAGGCGTCGCGACGACAAACGTACGGCGATTGGATGCGTCCGATGCGTCGTAGGAGCGTCGCTGGACCGAACGAGGGCGAGGGCGAGGACTGGAACGCTCTCAGAGCAGCATCACGCGCAACGCTTATGTCAGACGCAGGGCAGCGGAGGAACACGCACACCCACACGCAGGCTGCGGCAGAGCTTCGGCGCATCTGTCCACCACCTTCCGCGGGCGCCTCGCGCGACATCACCGACCGTCGGTAACGCGCGCGCGCGCGCAAGAAAAAAGTGTAAAAGGGACATTTACCCAACCTTAACCTCTGACATAGTTAACCTCACTTTTTCGCTATTACTCCGAGCCTATGCTCCGAACTAGCGGGGCGACACTTTCAAAACGAAAAGAAGGGAGGAAACTTGATCTTTATCCGTTTTGTTATTCATCTCCCGCGCGTCGACGCGCACCGTCGTCGGTTCTCCCGTTGTAAATCTCCCCCTCGCACGTGTACTCGATGTTCGATTCGATTCGATACGACTCGCACGGCTTCGTCGCCATAAATGTTACGATTCCGCCGTACGGCGAGCGCGAAACCTGACACTCGTTATGCCGGCCCGATCGCGCGGCCCGGCCGTCGTCGCGACGTGACGCACGCAGGGGGCTGCTAGATAATACCGTTCTCTCATGAGCTACTTGTCATGACGAACGAGGACAACGTGTGGAGCGAACTGGCGGGCATTCCCGCCGATCCCCCCGAGACGAGGGACAAGTGTCAACAATGCAGGCAAGTGCTCAGAGATCCCGGACATGTGTATTCTTTGTAGCTGCGTTTCTCGCGCCGCTTATCTCCTTCCCACATTGGGGAGGAAAGGAAGAAAGACGAGCGCGGGAAGCTCGGCTGAAACGTTAACGGATCCGCTGTGAGAATCTTTTTATTCAACATGCGTGCTCTTGCAGGAGACCCGTGCAGGTGTGCTGGTGCCCGGGCTTGCCAAAGCAGCGTTTCAATCCGGCGTCGAGGATAATTGTTTTGCAGCACCCGGCAGAGGCGAAGCGCTGCCTGCGTACGGTGCCGATGCTCGCGTTGGCACTGGAGTCGGGAAAGTGCCTGATCTTCAGGTGAACGAAGCCCACGATTGTTTCAGCTTCACCATCGACCAATCCCGCCAGTCTAAAATTGTCAATTCAATCCTGTTTCCACCCTCTGTCTTTAAGGGGAAAGAAGTTTCCGTTGCCTAAGCACGAAGGCCTGGCAGAGATACTAGACGACAAGAATACTATTTTGCTATATCCGTCGCCTGGTGCTGTCGCGCTGGACACGCTGGACCCAGTCGGGATCAACGAACAGAAAGCGTATAACTTGGTTCTGCTGGATGGAACGTGGCCGCAAGCGAAAGTAAATCATCGCCACGGCGATCCGTGAACTTCTTATGTTAATGGCATATAATTATCGATTTGGACCTTTAAAAACGATACAATAGGTTTGTTTTCTATTGCTGCACTGGTGAACTAGTGCAGTAAGCTAGAATAAGAAAATATACTTATCTTACTCTGAGGATCTGCACTAATGTAGAGGGAAAAAGATGCAACTCTGAACTGGCGCGGCTAGTTCAGCTATAAAGAACGGACTCTCCGATTTATTGCACTAGTTCACCAGTGCAACAATAGAAAATAAACCTAATACAAAGATAATGAGATGGCACGATTTTCGAAGTTTTTGATGTCCATTTGTTATCCCGCAGGCGATATATCATTCGAGCCCGGCCCTGTACTTACTGCGAGCCTGCAAGCTGATCGGCGTGCCTACTAGTGAGTACGTGATCAGGACGCAGCCGACGGAGGGCTGTCTCTCGACGCTGGAGACGGGCGCGAGTGCGCTCTCGATTGTGGAAGGCGATCCCGAACTGAGGGAGAAGATGCTGGGTCCACTTCATTATTTATGTAGGCAAGTGCACAAGTTTCCGTCACGTAGCCATCATCCGGGTAGAGGTTCATCATTGAGATATAAGTTTGTATAATTGAAGACAAAGTGAAGAAGTAGCGATCAGTTGCGATCAATACATCTGAAGATTACATCAAGTTTACGTTCATCTCCGAATTGCGCAAGAAGTCTGAGGCTCTTTCCTCTTTCAGGTTTCAATTAGAAAATGGCGCGGTAACGCACCAGAGCAAGGAGTTCCTTATCAAACAGAAAGCTTATCCCAAACTAATAGGCAAAAGACTCGCCAAACAGTTACGTATATTACCGGATAATACCTTATAACATTAAGATTAGTATTGAAAATATATCGGTATATTTTAAGATATTGATAATAGATGAAAAAATAAATATCTTTCATGAACTTCTTATAAAGCGCGTTGATGTGAAGATGTAGAGATACTGTGTAAAATGAGCACACGAGGGTTTCAATAAATTTTCTATTTATACTACAGTTACAGAGTAAACTCTTTGGAGGGATACTCTAGCGGCTCGAAGAAGTTTATTCAACGCAATATAGTTGCAATATTAAACTCTCTTTTAATATTTATTAAAAAAAATAATAGTCATTTATTATTTTAAGCAAGATGTCACGAACAACCTATCTCTCTCGATGCCCGGGCTAGTTCGCTAGAACTGAGCCCTAAACATGCATATTTCTATTGGGCGAAGATAACCCTGACATCATTCATCGTATCATAAAATTTCGTTTCTATAATTTTGCCTTAATGTTTTAAACACTCTTTAATGAGAAACCAATATTAAAACAGTTTAATATTTTGCAAATATCAAACGCACTTAAACAAACAATCGTTGTACCATCAATGCAATCAATCATTTGTCAATACATTAAATTCGAATTCTACTTCACCGTTATGTGGGACAAAGGTGAACGACCACGAAAGCTTGCTTTCTTTCGTAACGTTGGACACTCTACGAAATAGATGTACGCCTTGTCTCGTGTAGGGATCCCAGGACACACACTTGCCAGGTACTATTTCTTCAATTGGACCACAAGATACTGACGTATCCGAGTCCAATTGCCAATCCACCCATATAACGACGCCATTGCAGGAGCCGCAGCTATAAAACGAAAAACATGGAAATTATTATTTTTTAAAAAATTGAAATTTTGTCTTTTTAAATACTGATGCTTAAACATTTTCCTCTGTACAGTGTCTTAATAGAAGACACTTACTCTAAAATCGGAATCTCTCCCGTTAATCTCTTGCGCTCGTCGAAATTTACGTTCCGTGTTAGATCGAGTTTTATAATATCGAAGGACGAAGATAATGCCTTGCAAGGATACTCCCAGAGTGGCTGCGCTTCTACGGAATTGTCACTTTTCTCGCTAGACGCCTGAAAGTAGAATACAACTTTCCTTTAGTATTTTCGAACGATACAAAAGGAGAATAAGCCAACGGTACCAACTTGAATGAGCCTGTCGAAAGACGAGAGATCAAAACCCTCGCAAGTGCCGAGAGGAGCTCTTATTTTCTGCAAATCCTTAAACTCGACTGCGACGGCCTTTACCGCCGCCGCGACCGGCATCCTCGCGATACTCGATGGATATCTGGAGGCGAGATACCAGAATCGCAGATTTTCCCACGGCACGATAGAGCTCAGGAAATACGGCTCGCCAAAAATAAAGTCGATTTCGCTCGCCTCCGGCAGACCGTCGACCGACTCGACAATCTTTACTCGATCGGAGAACCCGTTCGCCTGCACGAACATCTCCATGGTTCTACGCGACAGGAAATTCTGCTCCAACAGGAACACCTTTGCGCCCATTCTTGCAATCGCGAGAGCCAACAGGCAACCATCCGAGACGCAAAGGCAGACGCTACTCGAAGTGATCTTCTTCCGCATAGCTTGCAGGTATTTCTGATTACGAACTGTGTCGTTTAATTGACCAATACGCGTCCGCGAGTACGCGATGTGTGCCCAGCAATTACACTCGGGCCTCTGGCAATCTGGAATCTCATCTCTGTGAAAAAGATTTGTCCTTTTTACTTAGAACGTGGTAAGCACCAATTAAAATTATTATTTTCAAATAGCAAGATTTTAAACAGTCAATAATAATTCATCGCCGGCAACAAAATAAGAAAATTGCTTAAATTATGTAAAACGCGCGGTGACTAAAATATTACAGAATGAGACAAGTACTCACATAGGCCCATTCAGTAATTTAAACCAGAAGGAATATTCATCGTGATAACCGATAAGATTGACCTCGACACCGTGCGTGATGGATATTTCTTCCGGAAGGTAATAGACAGCTTGCATCCAGTGATCCCGCCACGGTATCGAATCCGCCATCCTTTGCAAACACGAGGCATCTTTCTTCATGTCATTAGATACGTCCGGATGTTCCCATACAGGTGCACAACTCAGTAATATCTAAAAATGATACATAGTATGAAATACATAACGATGATTAGAAAGATAATACGGACGTTTCATTACCTGATTATCCGTATCCATGTTCAGGTCCCACCACATGAAGATCGCATGTGCGGTTCCGCTTGTTATCGGTTGCGTTAGCACTGATACTTTTTCGTTGTTCAACAAAGGTTTCTTGCCAGACCAGTCAAACCTAAAGTGCATTTTCAATATCAATATCAATATATACATACAATATATTTGGAAATCATTATAACAGTATATTATATTGTTATAATCATTTTCATCATATACAGTACATATTTAATGATTATTTATTCTTGAACTGTGGTGATCGTGGCACAGACAGTTGTAGCGCTGCTCTAGTGAGCCGAAGACCCGAGTTCAAATCCGACTAGAAATCGTCGTTTTTATTCGATTGCCACCTCTCGAAGGAAGAAGCAACCCACCGAGAGTATATTTGCCAGGAAAACTCATCGGTAGAGTCGTTCGGAATCTGTGTAAAATTGTAGGTACCATATGTCTAGTACAGATATATGTAGTGGAGTCACGACTCGGAATCGAGCAATACGACGCGAAGAGAGAGAGGGAGAGAAAGAAATTCTTAAACTTTAAACAACAAACATATATTCTCTCTTTAGAAGAACGAAAAGTAGCGATCGTGGTACAAAGTGCGCTGCTACATCAAAATATCATTGGTTTTTATTCAATCGCCGCCTTTCGGGAGAAAGAGGGATGAGGGATGATTACCTGAAGATAGGCTGTGCTGGCAGTAAAGGCACAAAAGTGTCGCGAGGGAGACGTGATAGTTGCATGTCGTGCACAGCTGCAGCGCCGGAGCACGCTTGGATAGTCGGTGGAGCGTCAACCAACATTTCTCCGTTCTCAATGGGCTTCACTCGGTTCCAAGCACAGACTTTGGCGCTCTCGACTACCTGCGCCCACACCGTTCCACAATGCGGCACGACTATGCTGTCTTCCTATTGTTAAAGCGAAGCATAAGCGAATCTTTGAGCGAGCAGAATCACACGTAAGCTTGGCATTACCTCGAGAAGACACTCGTGTGCGTGACGGAACGTTGACAGTGCTCCCTCGCCGATCAACTCGGTGTCGAACACCTCGGTGACTAGAATATTCGCGCGTTTCGACATGTCACCACCCTCGCCCACCGTCATCTTCGTAGACCGCTTGCGAATCAACTTAATTCTATCCTCGAAGCCGTTCTCCTTAATTATCTTTGCCGCGCAATTCGCCATTGGTTTGAAAGCCTAAACGAGATCTTCCTGCGTAAGCGGAACCTTTTTTCAGAAAGCTTGGAAAAATTCTCTTCCCTCACCTCGCACGCCGTTACAGTGTCTGCCCCGCATCTGGCAGCCATCATCGACAGCAAGCCTGTCCCAGTGCCTATGTCGAGAACGTTGGCCTCTTCACCGGCCTGGTGCTTTTTCTCAATAGCGGCTTTGAGGGCGAAGTAATACTTCTCATTCTATTAAACAAAATGTGAGATGTTTTAATTCTGCCAGTTAAAGGACTATTATCGAAAAAAAAAACATAAAGCGACAATGTAACGTGACACTGACTCGTTCGTGATCATGCAGCATGTCTGCGAAGGCGGATCTAGCCACTTCTTGATGATAATCGTAGTATTCGTCCTTTTCCTCCCACGAGGCAACGCCGGTGAGGGGATTCAAACACTGCGTGAATATACTCATGTTTCGATTAGGCAATGCTCTTATTGCAGTGGCGAAACCAGCTCTTAACATTTAAAATTGAAACGTACGCCCGGCAAGATGGGAGATTCATTTAAACGCCTGGCCTTATTTCAATTTTTTTTACTTGGAAGATACCTGCAACTTTTTGTACCTGCAAGAAGTCGCGATTTTTAACATTGCGGATCTCGAAACGCTTCGTATCGAGTATTTCAGTCATTACTACGCGCTCTACCCTAACTTGTACTTGGATAAATCTCCGAATAAAAATCTTTATAAAAGTTGGAGCTATCTTCGTTGGCGCGTCGTAGCTTCAATAAAATCTTACTGGTAATACATGGGACGGACTGCCGTAGATAACAACGCTAATGTTTCCAAACTGCCACGCACGTCTTGGACTTTCAACAGTTTGTGAGCTACCAGTACAACTTCATTTTCCCTCTGCTCCAGCGTTCCGAAAACTTTGAAAATATGACACTTCTCCTGCAAAAGTGTAGAATCGTCAGACAACTAAATCAGATAGAATAACAGGTCATTCTATTACTAGGCGACAATTTGCCTCGCTTAAAGATATTGACAAAAATAGTGAACAAGAATGATGCATTATTCATCAGTGAGATAAAAAAACCATCCCCCTTTCGACTGCACACCCCATCCTGTATATATACAAGTGCATTACACCAAAAATCTGGTTAAATAAATAGCTGAACTGGTGTACACTTTATCCGTGAAACAGGCAGATGTTTGAAAACTGAAAGCAAAGGGGAAAGACTCCGCAGTCCAGTGCAGCAATCAGAATCTAAACGGACCAGACTACGCATTGGCGACTCGGGATTGCGACACGAAGGCTGGAATTTAACTAATGAGATTATCTTAATTGCAATTCCTTTCGTTCCGACCGGCCGAATTCTAATCTGTATTTCCTAGGGTATAGTCTGATACACGAATTAACTGTTGTATGCAACTGGGCTGTAAACGCGCCACGGTGAATCGCTTCATCCCCGTTCAACTTCGGCGAACAGCCCAGGATGAGACAGTTGACCTCTTTGACTATATAAGTTAGTCAAAGGTTGACCTCGTGTCCCACGTTGGGGAGAAAAAAAAAGATTCAAGCAGAGTCAAAGTGCTCCATTCAACGGGACGACTGAATTAACCGCTTTACCCATATATACTGCCACTTGCCCTCTTCGTCCTGGAGGTAGACAGCGTGCGGGGGAAGTGTCTCCAGGCTCAGGGTGATCCTCGCCTCGCGACCCGCCGAGACACTTTGCAAGGAGGCGACTCGCCCGGCGCCGGGCACAATCTCGCCGATCGTTTGCACGCTCTTGACGCAATTCTCCCTGTAGTCGGGCAGGGACGTGTAACGAGGGATGTCCTCGACCAGGAGCGGGATATGCGGGACACCGGACGGCAGGATGTTCTCGCGCACGGCCAAGCACGCCGGCCAGGGGAGTGATTCCAAACGCGCCTGCTCCATGTGATCCTACTATTTCACGGTTATGGGCCAGCCCACTCCGCGCCATTGACCGAGTGTTTATTCGAGAGCGGCAACCTATGCGAGTGGCCGAGCGGTCCACGTGACCCGCGCGGTCGACCAATCGCTCGTAAGCGCGGCGATCCTCAAAACGTATTGTTCATTTGGGTCGGATTTCGCGCTCCGACGCTGGATTCGAGCGTCAAATCCTGGCCACGTGGCTACATTTGACGCTCAGTCTATGGAGGGGAGCAATTAGCGTCAAATAGCCAAAATAAAAACACCAAACGCTGGCGTCCATGCTTGTCTGAGCGTGAATGGAACTTACGGCCGAATAGTAAAAATGCTAAAAGTGAATAGCGTTTTTGAGCTCACTTTTAGCAATTTCACTATATTGTAAGATGTAGAAGCTTAAGAAAGTAATATCGACTTGCAGCTTTTATGGAATAGCTACAACTTGATTGGCTACACGTTTCTCGAAACTAGAACTTGGACCAAGTCCTAGCATCGTGGACACAGGCCTTAACGCCCGTAAAAATAGAAAAGAAGAAAGAACGACGAAAACGGCTGAGATTTATTAAGACTTTATTAGAAAATGAGAGAGGAATACTCGAGAAGTATCCTTTCTTGGCGTGCGCGAATTCAAATACTCTGCCTCTTTTTATTATACGTCTCATGTGAATAATAATGATATACATATATACAACGTTGCTCGCGTTACATAATGAATTGTCGTAATTTACATCAATGTAACAATTTGAGTACAAAAGAACGTTTCCACATTATCTAGCCGAGATAAATTCCCATACAGCACCAGAGCTTTCAGAAACATTTCAGAAAACATTGTTGCAATGTTACAATGTTTCTGAAAGCTTCGGTGCTGTATGGGTTAGTTATACACACGAGGTGAACTCATTTAATCCACAAAGTTGTACGCATATCAATGGCGTTCGTAGGAAATATGTCACTCATTTACTGACACAACTCAGAAATTATCATCGTTCATTGCGCGTATCTATATATATATTATATATATACCGTTCATATCTATGTATACGCCCCGATAAATACCTAAGTACACATGGGGTTGTAACATATGAATTTATATCAGAGGCTATTTCTCTTATTATCTCTTAATGTGTCTCTTATAATATTATCAAAAGACAGGGTAGTCTTACGCCAAACGCATGTATTATATTGTTACTGCAAAAAATCAATTATTGAATGATTATTGAATACTCAACAGTTATGATGACAAACCGCTATAAATCCATGTATATTGTTTTTGACCTGTAACCTTTAATCTAGTACAATACATTAAGCCTATAATAGATGTAGAAAGTGTCCAAAAACCAGGTCTTAATTATATATACATATGTATGTATATGTTCAGAATGGTAAGGATTCTTAAGCGATCTTCAAGCGATCTTATAAATTCAAAAACTATTGTGCTCAGTTGCCTCACAATATAAATGTCGACTAAACTACATTATCAAGCAAATATAAACATTACATATAGGTAAGGTATATTTAAATGTAACTCTGAAAAATTTAATGAAGACGTGAAACAATTTCTTAGAGTCCTTTTCGTCATTTATCTTCCTTTAAAGACCAGATTAATGAATATATGCACAAGAGAGTTTGCATCCGATCACGAATCTAATTTTCCTCTTATTACACAATAGTCAGGTACTCCGAAGCGAGCTGCATCGAATCGACGGGATATGAAGTTAGGACCCGAACCTTCTGACCATCCTGAGTCACGAATTCGATCGCTTGTTCACCATCCACGAGTCCAGCCTGCTCGATACTTTCCAGCTGATTAATCGTCGCGACTGTCGTGGCATCGGTACTCTCGTCCTAATAAAACATAATGTTAATATTTTGGTAACACTATCGAATAAAACACAATTTGAATTATCAATGTACATATACATGAAAAAAATGTACTACGAATTTGGTACTAAAAATGCAGAGATCTAAAAATCTCAAAGAATGTGTGGAGTTAAAATAAAGGATTGATAAAATTCATTGAAAGCTTGCTATATAAAAAGAGTATTCGTGAATGGACAGATTTTGTTATTTGTATCAAATCGGAAATTACCTCAAGCGCTTGGACAATTGCTTGCGCATCACTTTGAATTGTCGACAACCCGATATTCTTGTTTGCACTCGAACGCACCATGATTCCTGTTTCCTCCATAGTGTCGTCTTCGTCGACGTGGATATTCAAAGCTTGTAGTTGTTGCGCGAACATTCCAGGGTGAACCCTGACAATCTGGCTGTCGTTCAACTGATTGATAAATTGCTTCTGTGAGAAAAGTTGGCGAGCTTCTTGAATAGACAACGGAATCGGATTTCCGTGTTCGTCCGTGATCTAAAAGTACCAACAGATCCCATGGAAGGAGAATTTTAATTATAAAGAACACTTGTGTTATCTAAGAATCATAGTTATTTAATTTTCGAAATTAATAATAAAATCGAAATATAAATATTCGACTAGAGAACTAGAGAACATAATAAGACAGTTTAGTCAAACAATAAAATAAAAAGTGCAATTGCTAACATTAAAAAATTTCGTCTAGTACACATAAAAATAAGGATCCATCTTTCTTACCTGCAACTGCAAATCTGATTCTGATAATTCGATTTCTGAATCCTCGTTGTTGCTGGCCGAATTAGTCATAATTTTATCTACAATGATCTCGTCGCTCTGCATACCCAAACGTGATAGGGAATTCACATTTGTTACTATCTCGTTTTTGTTCTTGATCATGTTGGCATCAACTAAAGTTCCATAATTGAAATAATAAGTGATTGATCAACCAATGACAATTAACAAGTTCATTAATTATAAATGCTTGCATACCTAAATGCAATGTTTGCGAATCGTCGGGATCGTCAGGGTCCTGATAAGATACATAAATAATCTGTTGGACCCCGTCATTAGAGTTCTCGTCAGTAGCTATTATTTCACTAGTGAACGTCTGATCGTCAGCATCCTGTGAATTCGGCAGAATCTGCCACACTTCGCCGATCGGGGATCCCTCCGGCCTGTTCACAGTCACCTTCTTATTCTCCCTGTGCACCTACAGAAATCGACAGTTATTACCGATTACTAACGAAAGAGTGAAATTGTCACAATACCTTTTTGTGCTTGGTCAGATTCGAGCAGTCAGCGAAAGCTTTGCCGCACACATCGCAAGAATAAGGTTTCTCACCTGCAAAAAGTGGAATCGTCAATATTTTATAATTACACGGAAATTGAAATGGAAGCATCCGTCTCCCTTTTTTATTTTTAAATTTGGGACACGGTTTTGGTTATTTTTTTTATCACCGGTGTGCAAGCGAAGATGTTTCTTCAGCGCCCACTGCTCCGTAAATCCACGGTTGCATTCGTTACACTGAAACGGACGTTCCCCCTTATGTCGACGCACGTGACACTTCCACGTATCCTTGTGCAAGAAGCTCTTCGAGCAAAACTCGCATTTCCATGGCCGTTCGCCGGTATGCCGTTTTATATGCAACTTAAACTGCGACGAAGTAGTAAACTTGCGGCCACAGAAATCGCAACTGTACGGCTTTTCGCCGGTGTGAATGCGTATATGCTCTTGCAAATTGCCGTTCTGGGAGAAACTTTTGCCACATTCCTTGCATTTGTATGGTTTTTGACCACTGTGCCATCTAAAATGGAGCCATACAATTTTTAGGATACTATTTATATTTTATGCCGATAGCTGATTAAATCTTAATTCAGAGATTCAAAGGAAACAATGAAACACGCGATCTTACTTAAACATTCTGAAGAATTAAAAAAATATTTCTCTCGAAATCTTGATATTACTATTATTATCATTATTAGTATTAAAATTATTAGTATGAAAGGAAGTGATACATTCAATTACCTGTAATGCAAAGTGAGACTAGTTTTATGGGCAAATTGTTGATTGCAAATCTCACAGCTGTACTTTTTCTGACCCGTGTGAGTGGATTGATGATTAATCAGGTTTGCTTTCGTCTTGAAACTGGCGTTACAGGATTTGCAAACATGTGGCCGATTATCCGAATGCACCAGCTGATGCCGCTGGAGCAGCTGTTTATGCTTGAAGCACTTGTTGCATTTGTTGCACACAAAACGAAGCCCATTGTTGTGTTCAGCTTCTTTGTGATACAAGACGGAACTCGGGTGGTTTAGAACCTTGCCACAGATATCGCAAGGATAGTCTTTATCCGACTTTGTTTTCTACAACATTATATAAACGTCTAAGAAACTCGAGAAATATTACGTGCAATTTTAGAAACAAAGATCGTAAAACTATTATGTCAAAACATTTGAGATAATTTAAAATATCCCTCGAGCGATTTTTAAATTAACGTATTAATTGTTATTTCGTTGCAAACATGAAAACACGAACCCCATGCGTCGTCATGTGCGTCTTCAGGTCCGATTGATTTGCGAAACTCTTGTTACAATTGCTACAGGAGAACTTTTGTTGCTCGTGCGCTACTCTCATATGCAATTCGTATTCTTGTTTCAGATCAAATTGCTTGTTACATTTTTCGCACGTATAAGTCGCTTTGCTGGAATCTTTGGCTACTTCGGAAGATTTCAAAGAGGTGTTTTGCTTTGCGTTGTTCGTCTTCTGCGCCTCCTGTACCTCAACATTTTCTTCAGCGAAATTTGAACTGTGTTTAGTCGTTTCTTGATGCAATGTCAAATTCTCTTTAGTATCAAACATCTTCTTGCATTGTGTGCATTCAAACTTGGTACTCGCGTGGAAACCCCTAAAGCGCATTAAGTTAAGGTATAAAAATTTGTTAAAAATATCTAAAATAAATCTAGATCTTTCAAACAAAAATTATGAAAATTACGAAATAGAAGCACAATGCATATGCATAATTAAAACTTACGAAATAGAACATAAGAAAATCTAATTTGCAAGAAAAATAATTTGTTCACATTCGAGCATTTAAGATCTTTGTGCAGGAAATGTGGAATATAGAAAATGATATTACTTATGTATTATGTATCTGCTACGTTGCAAGAAACCTCTGCCGCAGAGTTGGCAAGTGAACTTGCTTTTCCGACGGCGCAATTTTGATTTTGATCGTACTCGTCCACGGTTCATAATTACCACTTCACCAAGATCCGTACCCTCTTCTGTCTCGAGATGGCCTATCACCTCTGCAAAATACGAACGGTAAGATGATGGAGAAAAATCTTTCTTCCTATTTGCCATCTCGAACGTTATGTATACCTTCTCCGCCATCCTGACTAGAAGACTTTAACAGAGCTTCTGAACCTTCAAACATTTCAGAGCCATTGTCTTCCTCATCGATCACACCTTCTTCCTTGAATATTCTTTCCAATTCTTTTCCTTGCACTGCTTCCAAATATCTGCGCAGATTTACCAACAATTTATGTCAACCGTAATCGACAAGTTTTCACGTTAGCTTACCTCTTGGGAACTTTGCGCTTCCTCCTGCGTCTACCATCGCCATCCACTTCTTCTTCCTCTTCCTGCTTATCCTCCTCACCTTGACTCATAACTTCCGTCGGACTCTCTTTTGCCGACTTGTATAGAACGTATGCAAAGGTGTACATATATTAAGAGCTCTATAACGTAAGAAACAGTAAACTTGTAACTTGATTATTATTACATACCACAGAATCTGTTTCCGCAAGTGCTTTAGGTGGACGTCCACGCTTTCTCCTCGGCTTAGTCAAGCCTTCCATCTGCAAGCTCATTTCGTGCTCTTCCGCATATATAGATCCATCTGCCATAACTAAAACAGCAATATCGTACGCAGCGTTGAAATTCTGCCGTGTGTAACAGCTTTGCAGAGGTGCAACGGATATGCAGAGGAAAAAGTCGTATTACCCTTAATAATCACTTGCTGTCCATACTGCTCGTCGTCGTTATACTGAATCACACTATCCGCCTCCACCCCTTCCGCCCCAAGCTCCACATTCTCCTTTCTGCTGCGGAAACGCTCCACCTTGCGCTGCTGCTCCACCTGATGTTTCCAGAGTTCGCGCAGCTTGCGCTGACCAGCCACCAGCAACTCGAAGAACTGCACCGTCGCCTCCAGCTGGATGTTACAACCCGGGCAAATTGTCTGCGGTAACTTGCCATCGTTGTGAATCTTAAATTTCGAGACGTACAGTTTGGACATCATGTCAAATATAATTTGCACAGACAGCTACTTGATATATTACATTGTTTATATATAAAATTGGGAGCTAATGTGTCAATAGAGAAACTGTTTGTTCTTAAATACGTTCAGGTGGCAGTCGGGAGAGGCAATGCAGAACGTTCAGCGTACAACCAGCAATTAGATAAAATAATCGTAATCGTTGCGCTCGGTAAAAAGGGGCGAGAGGACAGTGGCAGAGAGAAAGAACGAAAGTTCGGAATGAAAAAGCTGATGATCAAACGAGCGATGCATGAGACGATGAATATTTTTGATCAGTGCAGTAGCCGCACGGGGAGAAACTGCACGAAAATCGTAGTAGGAAATCAAGTTGCAGTCCGTTCGACCGGCGTTTTGAAAACGCAAGCGCCTCACCTTCAGCGGCAGGTAGCGGTTCACGAGCGAGCAGAGATCCGGCTCGCCGTCCTCGCTGACGAAGAGGTGCTCATTGCCGTTCTCCGCCGCGCATAGCCGACAGACCGTAGAGTCGTACAGATGCACGTTCACCATATTCTCGGCGACACGAGCGAGACGACACTCAGAGATTGTAATTGTCCCTGAGAAAACTCCAAGTGCGTAAAAAAAATGGATAGAAATATTACGAATTCATGTTAGGTTGACGATGTCGAGATACGTTGTGCGTTAGAATAAATTGGTATGTACAAGTCGTGAACGCGCAGTCCGTTCCAACCGTTCGGAGGGTAAATCAGGAAGTGTTTGCGTCGGAGGTTAAGTTGACCCTCCCACCTCCTTCGGTTCTCTCGCAAATACTGCCTAGTAATATTTCATTTCGATAGCAGGCCCGGCGAAAAATAAAAATTCTCCCAACACGGTGGTGATAAACGTTCCAGATTAAAGGCCTGTGTCCATGAAGCTATAACCACTGACAATGAGATGAACCAAAAAGTTCAGATAAAAAGAACAGACCCAAGGTCACGTGTCACATGCTCCAACACGCTCCTGCTTGCCCCAACGACCAATGGGGCGAACAGGAGCATATGGGACATGCGACACGTGACCACACGAGACCTCCAGTGATTCACGGTAGGGATGGAGGGGGTGCAGTGACTTTCGCAATCCGCTGCAATGTTATTGGACAACTTGTGGGTGATTCATCATTCGCTACATACTTCGAAACGCAAGCCAATGTTGTCTCACATACTAAAATTAATGCGAAGAACCGTCGAAATCCTCTGGTGCTCGTTTTGAAATATTTTAATGGATTGTCCATTACATAATTTTCCTTGTCACGACAAAAGTGTGTCGGTAACGAGTTAAGGGAATGTCCTGCAACACGTGCCAAGCGAAATTTTCGTTCTTCACGAAAGACGTAAGGGTCAATTGCGCCGAAGTTCGATCACGATAGGTTAATCCTGGCGGAATAAAGCGTCGCCGAGAGGAACCCGCATTTTATTTATTTTTATTTTGCTGCCCGCCTTAGATCGGTTGCCCGGGCTGCGGCTACTCTTGCTGCGGCAAATGCCTCAAGTACAAATGCGACATTCCTGATGTAGGCAGAAGGAAAGTTTGCGGACGTTGTTACGCCAAGTCGAGCAGCATGAAGAAATCGAGCTCCACCGATGACGCCGCCGGGGACGACGCTCCGACGCCTGACGCGTACAAGGAACCGCTTGCGCCGATCGACATCACTATGAAGTGAGAGCAATCGGGTCTCCGCTGGATACTCCGCTGAATTGCATTTAGCAACGTGACATTCCTCAATGTTGAACGTTTCTTCGTAGGCTGGACTCGTTGGAGAACCCAGTGAAGGTTCCGATAGTCATATACAAACATACGAATCGCTGGGACAAGCTCAAGACGGGATTAGAGCCGGCCGATCAACAGATCGTGGACAGACTACGGAAGCTGAAAGACGGGGAACGGAACATTCCATTGCCCACGTTCGATGAGATAGAGCAGAGACTGGCATTGTTGAAGGATCAGAATCCAGAGGCGGGTGGAGGCAACGTCATAGATGTACGTGAACGAAATGTGATTGCGTCGCGTGAGCCTTTACGGATTGACTATTGCAGATACATCGGGTGGATACCAGGACGGATCAGGAGAAGGCGGACGATTTGGTTCAGGAGTACTTGGCGCAAGTAGAGCTGCCTTCGACCAGCAATCTTTGCAAAGATATTCAGGGGAGGCTCGACTCCTTACGGGATAACGGCGGTGAAACTGTACGCGAATGAAATTGTAAAACTTTAAGTGTGACATTCCAACCGTCAACAACTTATTCCTTGCAGCGTTTCGATCAAGGCCTGAAGGAGATTGATATTTACAAGCAGCTATATGAGACTACAAACGACGCGGAGTTGGTCAACAAGGTCTCGGCAATGGAAATAGAGGTATGTGTGCTCAGCAGTGACTATTAAACACATTTTTTCCCAGCACTTATATCCTTATAGATTTGTTTTCCCTGAAAATACGTACATTTATGCGTTCCGCTTGATGAATTAAAATGTTACACAATTGTGTTTGAATTCAACAATTCAGTTTCTGTGTGAATTTTCATGCTGGAAAAACTCAGACTCCTCCAAACGCGGAAGATAAGGATGGAGACGAGAACGAGGATGAAGGTGGGAGCGAAAACGAGTGCGTCGTGTGTTCGCGGACTGCGAACGAATCGGATCTGTATAGGTGCACGGGTTGTACGGGCGATCTCTACTGTCCCCCGTGCTTCGAGAGTTCCCACGACGAAAGAGAAATGTTGGACAAGCATAAGGCAGTTCGCTTTATCAAGGAAGATAAGAGAGATAATTTGTCTTCTGCAAAGATGAGCCTTATACGGAAACTATTAACGTCAGACAATAAGAGGACCAATCACTGATAGTCCATCACTGCATTATACGAAAACATTCTTCGGATGCGGTTTCGCATATGCCGATTTATCGCGTTAATTCTGCTATCATTGGATCTTGTGCGCACGTGAGACTAAAATTGAAAAAAAACTCTTCTAACAAACGTACAAAATAATTTAAACGTTTCTCCGTTCGCTTGACGCAGGCGACTCTTTCAGTATCTGGGAATTGGAATTACGCTTTACCGTTCGCTTTTGGCTGTGTCATTTTGTAGTTGCGGTTATTCTTATTCATTCGTTAGTTTTATTATAACTTTCCTGTTTTTAATATTATATACAAAAGAGAGAGATATATTAATGCACGCTCGTGTACGAGTGCAGTCCCAGATGACATCGCGTATACGCTTATCGTAAGAACGTCGTTCTTTACAATTCTTCAGAATAAAGTTATTTTGGCTAGTTACCTTGTAAGTTTCGTGATCTCCCTGATTTCTTCGAGTTTCGCTCCTCAAACGTTGTCTCGAACTCTGCCTAGATTGTTTTATCCGTAGCTCCAAGTGTTCTCATTGAAAATCATGTCTATCATGTGACGACCCGGAATGTGCGTAGTCGTTTATCTCTGGTCGTCGGAGACTCATCTTAGATTCGACACGAATGACTATCGCATGTACTTGCCAATATTCGCCAACAGAGATTTTAGTATTTCGTACATTTTGTAGAATTATAAATTTTAGTGTTACCGATGTTTTTGTCTGAAAATTAATTTCCGTGCCTCGAACTCGAGCCAATTTGGGACACATTTTTCAGTGGACGCATTGCACCTTGCCCAGTTACATCGTGACACAAATGTTGCAGCAAGTCCATTGACGAAGTATCGAAAAGTATTATTAAAGACGATCGATCCTACGAAATTGACTATTAACGTTTAAACGATTAGCTTGCGATATAATATTAATTTTATAATTTGACCCTAGTTTTAAAGGTTTTAACGCAGGATATTTTGGCGAGGCGGCAATTGTTGACTTTTATTTCAACTATACTTTTATCGTCACCATTTTGAATTTTGTTATCTATGCGGGTGGTCAGAAAAAATTTAATTTTGCTTTAAAAAAACTTTTACTATCCGTACAATTTAAGGACGATAAAAAAAGTGCAGTTTCAAAGAAAAATCAGCAAGAGAGGCAAAAGATATAAACGGAACACGCAAGTTCTAATCAAAGTAAGAGTTGAAGGCGCTCTCGTTTCGAAGGGTAAAGAAAGACGCAAATTAAAAATCGCGCGACTTTTACGAAGTAGTCTTCAAAATATACAGCGCCGCGTCGATTTTACTAGACGCGCGCGCGCGCGCGCAGTAACGCTCGAACGGCCAGTAACAATCGAGCGGTCGATGTATCTAGATAACCTTGCCCGATCGAGATCCGCTCCTCGAGGCTCGGGGGACGATGTTCGCACGTACTGCGCCGTGAAGCACGTATATAACGCGCACTACACAGGGTGAACCATAAGTCGAGCGACTCACCAAACGGATCCGTCCGTGGGCCACGTCGACCGCCGACGCCCGGCTCCATGCGCTGATCAAGAGTGGGACGGTCGACTCTACGCAAGCGGCGGTGACACGAGCTGAGACGAGCTCGCGCGCGCCCGCCCGCTCGATTCCCGCTGGAGGCACCTCTTGCTCGCGGTCAGCCGCGCGGGTCTCGTGACTCACCCCGTACATACATGCGTATGTGCGTATACGCGTGATACGTCGCGCCGCTGCGTCCGTGAGAGCCGCGCGTAGCGAGAGATCGCGAGTCGAGTTTAAAGGCCGCGCACCGTTTCTCGCCGGGCAAGGGCAAGGGGCACCGCGTATCGTGCGCGCACGACGGGGATCTGTTGTGACACGCACACGGACGAGTAACCGCACGCAGCCGCCACCGCCACCGCCACCGCCACCGCCAGCCAGAGGCTCGGGGATCCTCAACGCACGTTTGTATGCGCACGTCCGAGCCTCGAACGAGACGCTTCGAACACCGCTCGGACCCCCTTTGCGTGGTAAGCGGTCGGATTTTAGGTTAGAATCCGCGACCATCTCGTAACCTCCTCTACGCGCGCGCGAGCGGGGCGGCCGTTCCGCTCGTCGAGTCCTCGCCGTCTCGCCCGCCGTCGAGATCGCGACCTCCCCGCGACCCCCCGCGTCCCCGGTCCTCCTCCCGGAGCTCGACGCGCGGGCGACCTCCTTTCCGCTCGGGGCATCTCGGTCAGGCCAACTCTTCGGGCGGCTCTCGAGGTTAGGTCGCCCTGACGCGCGGACGATCTCTCTCTCTCTCTCTCTTCGCGTCGCTTTTCCCGCGAGGTCGGTGCTCGCCGTCGCCGCCGAATGTGCACCGGCGACATTGGCCTCCACGAGCGGCCTGGAAGCCACTCGAGATTCCTGGAGATCGCGGCTCCTGCGACGAGGAGTCGGTCCTCGCCGAATTGGGGTCTTTCGCTGCTGCGACGACCTGCGTCTCTGCACTCTGCACCCTCGCTTCGCGACGGTACGATCGGCTCCGGGGATCTTTCGTTGACATGTCCCGGTCGCGGGGACACAAATAACTTGCTCTCGTACGTCTCTGTCGTGTATACGTGTGTCGCGCGACATATGCCTCGATTTGCACTGCTATGACTGCGCGACGGCATGCCGTTTCATCACCAACACTCGCCTCCCGTTGCATTCAACACGAATTAACAGTCACAACAGCATCTTTCAGGCATGATAAACACCTTCAAGGATATCCCGTAGCAGAGTAATAATAAAGGACGTCTGTTTCTCTTTTCTTTTTTGGATATGTTCCACAAGGTGCATACATTCTAAGAAAACATGCCTCTGTTTGGAAAGTCCCAGAAGAGTCCGGCGGAAGTGGTGAAGGCTCTGAAGGAGGCGGTAAACGCGTTGGAGCGCGGCGACAAGAAGGTAGAGAAGGTACGTTGTTGCTGATACATGTTGGTTTCTACGATGAAATACATCCCCTTTTAGGCGCAAGAGGATGTGAGCAAGAATCTTGTGCACATCAAGAACATGCTGTACGGCACGGCCGAGACGGAGCCACAGGCAGACATCGTGGTGGCGCAATTGGCCCAGGAATTGTACAACAGCAATCTGCTGCTTTTGCTCGTGCAGAATTTGAGTCGCATCGACTTCGAGGTACGCCTTCGTTATACATGAAACAGCCCGAGCGAATCCGCACGGGCAGTTTTCGTGGCGAAGAGAGTTAATGTATGTATGCGAAATATTGTTACCAAGTGTCGGAATACTAGAGCGCAGCATCGGCTGCTCGCTCTTTCAGTTTTACTTGACATTATCCAACATTGTGCAACGAATGAAATAGCTGAGAGCTCTGTGCGTCGCGATTGTCACCAGCGGTTGAACTTGATCTTTCTGTTCCTAATTAAGGGAAAGAAGGACGTCGCACAGGTCTTCAATAACATCCTGCGGAGGCAGATTGGAACTAGATCACCCACTGTAGAATACATATGTACCAAACCTGAAATTCTTTTTACACTCATGTCCGGGTGAGTCTCTTTTTCCTTCGTGCGATGCCAGCGAGGTGACGACGGTGTATATTATCGGACGCGTCTCTTGTTTTGCAGTTACGAGCACCAAGACATTGCGCTCAACTGTGGCACAATGTTGCGAGAGTGCGCGAGATACGAAGCTCTGGCCAAGATCATGATCTACTCGGATGACTTTTACAACTTCTTCAGATACGTCGAGGTCTCTACGTTCGATATCGCGTCTGACGCTTTCTCTACATTTAAAGTACGTCATGCCGTGCAAATAAAAAGTAGCATGCGACATATTTCTTTTTATTCGTTCAGATATTTACGATTAACTTGAATCGTTCCGAGACGATTTAAATGCCCGCGAAAAATGTTCTAGTTATTATTGCTGCAATTATCGCTATTGATATCGTTAATATTGAGCTCTCATGACTTTGTCCAGGAATTACTTACGAGGCACAAAATACTCAGCGCCGAATTCTTAGAGATACATTACGATAAAGTTTTCTCACACTATCAGAGGTTACTCAATTCAGAGAACTATGTAACACGACGACAGAGTTTGAAACTGCTGGGCGAGCTACTGCTCGATAGACATAATTTTACAGTAAGTATGTGGCTTTGCCGCGAGTGATCATCGTTCATATAACATCACTAACGATATATGCCAAGAATAATTGTTGCGTCACATACATAAACGTCGCTGGAAATTGTCCAAGTAACGTACCACATTTCTATTTTATAAATAATATAAGCAATATAATTTTCTGGACTAACACAAGAGAATACATTTCACCGGATATATTTTCTCGGTCTATAAACAATCAATATATAGAATAATAATATACGAAAAAGATGTTGAGAAACACAGCAACAATTTGCGTAAACAAAACTTAAGGTGTACAATTTGCACTTGTATTTCATCGAAAGGATTGTTAGTAGAATAATTGGTCAAGTTGCTTACTCAATCCAGTGACAAGATACACTGCAATGTAACCATATAAATGAATACTTCTACAATAGTGGCACGTTGTTTACGATACTTCGCAATGACTCGAAATCTTAGTTCGCCTCATTCGTTGCATTCGCGAGGAGCTACTGGCAAGTGGTAGCGATGCGATCATTGGAATTGGTTCTCATATTAAAATTGTTGCAGGTTATGACACGATATATATCAAATCCAGATAATTTGAAACTAATGATGAACATGCTGAAGGAGAAATCTCGCAATATACAGTTTGAGGCTTTTCACGTCTTCAAGGTATGGCAGTGCTCGTTACAAATTAACATTTTCAACTCGCAAATTAGCATATTAAATTCTCGTAGCCTCTTAACACCCGACGCACGCTACGGCACAAAATTCATCGATTCTCGAGTCTAAATAATCATTCCAATAGGCGCGAAAGAAGCGAGTCCCACCGCGAGTGGGAACGGAGAATTAATCTAAGCGTGGTCTCTTCCGATTGTGTCCAGGTATTTGTGGCGAATCCCAACAAACCGAAACCCATTCTGGACATATTGCTCCGCAATCAGGAGAAGCTGATCGAGTTCCTGACGCGCTTCCACACGGATCGCTCCGAGGATGAGCAGTTCAATGACGAGAAGGCGTATCTGATTAAGCAGATCAAAGAACTTAAGTCTGTACATGATAATTAAGTCAAGGAAAATACAATTATTGCTACCGCTATGACTAACTACCACTACAATCATTATTACTAGAGTCTGCTGCTGTTGCTAATTACGGTTTTATCACTATTATGTAGTTATAATTTATCATCGTCACTGTCATATTGTCACCATTATTACGATCATCGTCATTACCGTTGTCATCGTCATCCCGGCATTATTATTATTATTATTATTAATTTTATTTGTGAGTAAATATTTCACTGTAAATAAAAACTACATTTATATCTTATTGTACTATACGCAGATCGAGTTGTCACCGTTGCCAGCGTTCTGCCACGTTTTTAGGAATGAGTCGGTTATTAAAGCAGAATGAAAACTTAATTGTCTTGATTTTTGCGGCCCTAGCCGGCGAGATTGTCATTTGATTTCATCGTAGCTGGAAGCTGTTGCGGATATGCGGATAAAGACGATGGCTTTTCCGAGCACTTTTAAGTTGCCTCTTAAAAATTTAGATTTACAGCTCGGCATTCTTATGTTTTTACGATTTGTCTGATAAGAATTGGTCCGTAGATAATTAAAAATAGTGGACAATGCGAATCGAATTTTATTTAACGAGTATACATGATTTACCAACCTTAATCTCACGTGCATGTTCTTTCAACAATAGCTGTAATGGCAAAACTCATGTCGGTGAATAAGCGCGGTTTCTGCACGTTGTTTCGATCGGGTTCACAATTGGGATAAAATTTCTCCGTGTCCTTACATTTCTGCAATTTTGGCGTTGCAACTTTGACGTCCTTCACGACCTTTTGTTGGATACTTTTTATCAACCAACTTGTTTGCGGACACCTTGCTATAGTCTAAAAAATATTGAATAAAATATGTAAAAATAGAAACGAGCTAAGAACTATCTAAGCATGTGTAGTACAGTGAAGTTTTTCAAGAAGGGAATACGAAAATATGCGGTACGAGAGATAAGTACTATAAAAGTTGACAAATTTGAAAATTATTCTAGCCAACTGTACCTTCGAGTAATCTTCATCCTGGCAAAGCAGCCATATTAAAGTGGCGCAATGTAAAAATACCACCTTGTCCTTCAACGATTTGCTCAGAAGCTCCACTAACTTCCATGCATACTCTTTCTAGCAATTGATACAACAAAGGATTTTTTTTAATGACGCTACTGAATACAATGTCAAAAGGAGGAGATAAACCATCGGCTCTTTCTAACTCACCTTGACGTATTTTCTTGTGTAGGAATACTTTGTCAGGGTGATCAGAATGCTGCACGCTAGCCGGCAGACCATCATCCACGGCTGCGATCTGTTGTTCAGCTTTATCGTATTGTAAATGTCATCGGTCAGGTTCAGCTCGCAGAGAATGACACCAACGGTCGGTGACAACATCGTTATGGTATCTGTGGTGAGCACAAATCATTCATTCACTATTTGTATCATCAAAATGGAAAGATCCTTTACTACTTAAGGAAACGATACAGCGTGAAGAGAGTTATGGAGAGTTTTACTTTTCTCTTCTTTACGTCCCTTGAGACTATCGTTAACCGCTAAGTGCAATTAATCACGCGGTATTATTCCTCAAGCGAGATTCGTATACCTAAGCTACTCAAGCAGGTGAGCAGCGTCCCGACACTCCTGCAGTCGCGCAACCCGTCGATCGTCTCTCGCCAGTAGTCGCTGTCCGGAAGCGCGAGTTTCGCGGTAAGCTCCTGGCCCTGGATAGCTTCTCCGCATTCGTCTCGTATTTTCCTAGCGATCGACTCGTTTTGCTGTCGCCAGTATTGCTCTTCGTCCTCCATCCTCTTCTGCCTGTAACGGCGCTGCAGCGTGATCGTTGCCCAGCGCAGAGACAGATAACGCAATTTCTCTCGTCTACCGGCAACGTAGGCTCGCCAGTAGACTTGGATGATCAACGCGGCATACTTGCGAGTCTCGTATCTTCGCCTGGCGACTCGCATTCTGTAATACGACTGAATGACTATCGCGGCCTGGCGCGAAGCGACGAATCTTCTCCTCGCCGTCACGGCTCTCCAGCGTGCCTGCACGACGATGGCTGCGCGAGTCAGCGAACGCATCCTCTTGGCGGCTCTCCTCGCCCGCCACCCTCTTTGTATCCTCACCACGTGGGCCTTGTACCGTTCGTACTCGTTTCTCGTTCTGATCATTCGCCACCATGATTGCAGAGCGACGCACGCCCTCCTCATCGTCAGATATCGCTGGCGATCCGCGCGCGCTTGGACGCGTCGGCGCCAGCGAGTCTGCAGGAGGACCGCGCTCTCGCGAAGCTGCAGATACCGCCTCCGCTCCTGACGGGCCACCGTTACGCTGCTCCACCACTTCTGTATCCGTATCGCGGCGCGTCTCATCTCCAAGTAGCGTCGTCGGACGGCCCTGGCCGAGCTGGCGCGGCGGTACCACGATTGTATCAGCAAGGCTGCCCGTCGCTGCCTCAAGTAGTCCCGCATGACCGTTCTCGCCCGCCAATTCTTCTGCACGACGCACGCCGCTTCCCGCAGTCGCAGGAATTCCGAGCGTTGACGTCTCGTAAGCTCGATCCCGCGCCACCAACGTTGCAGCTTCAGGCAGCAAGACTTGCGGAGCCTGTATCTGCGCGAACACGTCGTGGCTCTCCACCACGTTTGTATCCTCAAGCATGCGGCTTCTCGCTTGCGCGCCCGGCACGCCTTCCACGTTCTTTGAATGAGAACGGCGCTCTTCCGGTACAGGAGGTACCTCTTTCTGTCCTTTACGCCTATCCACCATCTCTCGATGCTACGCGCGGCGGTTTTCTTCTGCAGGAAGTCACCGCGCGCTTTACGCGCCAGCAAATGTTGTCTCCACCAAGTCTGAATGATGCGAGCGTTCTCTCTGCTGCGGAGGAACCATTCGCGCTGTTCCCGCATGGCTTTCACAGACCTCCACCAGACTTGTATCCTCACGGTGGCATATTTGCACGCAACATACTCAGACCGTTGCAATCTCATCGCTCGCGTTGCTCTCCAACGGCTTTGAACCATCGACGCGGCATTCCTCAGGTCGCGGTACCGACCTCGTTGCGCTTGCATCAGCAACGTAGCTCTCCATCGCCTTTGCAACGTGACCACCGCTTTGCGCCTCTCTCTTAGCTCCTGCAGCTTCTTCGAATTTCCTCGCATATGCCTCCACCATCTCTGAAGCTGAATCGCGGCTGTTCGGATGCGCAAGTACCTCTTGCGTTCCTCAGGTTCACAGCCGGTCCCGACCGAGAACGACGCTATCTTGCGCCTCCACATGCGCTGGATTACTATCGCGGCCAGGTCTCTACGTGCGCGCAAGAAGTTCCTCGTGTAAACGTACCAGAGTTGCGCCCGCCACCATCTCTGGATCACCCGCGCCGCCCGGTCGAACCGCGGCGCCTGGTACTTGTGAATGATCTGCCAGAGGAGCGACAGAGTCTTCTCACAGTGGCCGTCAGCGATGCTCTTCGCGACTATGTCGCCCTCGAGAACGAAGCCGGTCTGCCGCAAGGCACCCAACGCCAGGTCCACATTGTACACCTTCTGCAGACGCGATATCGCCGGCACCCGGCAACGCTGGGTCAATCCCTGGGCGCCGGTAATAAGCTCCATCGCGCGACACAGTCGCACGCCGTCGCGCAGATCGTGCCGTATATTCATCACGGCGTAATCGTACTCCTCGATGTAGGTCTGCCGATGAGTGAGCACGTAGTCGTGGACACGCAGCAGCCTGGTCACGTCGCCGATGCCGCTCAGGAGCTCGCGCGAGAAACTCAGCAAGATCTCGCGGCTCTCCTTATATTGGGCGCGTTTGTGGAACAGGCACGGATCGTGGCCGATCAGTTTGTGCTGCTTGGCGTAGTCCAGAAAGTACACCAGAAACAGGAACTTTTTCAGGATGAACTGGTTCAGCTGCACGACGAACTTCCGCTTCGGGTCGGTTTTATGGTAGCTGGGCATCTTCGTCAGCCGCGGATCCGAAAAGAATCTCGTTAACAAGAAGCGAGTCAGCCCGACGATGTCGTTGTTCGAGCGTAGCGAGATGTTCTCGCTGTACACGGTTTCCAGGCCGATACGTAGCCACAGAGGATTGTAACTCAGGAACAAGCCCAATATCAGCTTCTGCAAGCCTGTTGTCAAGCCGTTGAATTTAGAACATTACAAAGTGCGCGCAAGATTTATCAATCGGACAGCTTTCTTTGATCATAAAAGAAAATTAAGGATTAGCAAAATGAGGATTGGACAATTTATGAATTCAAGAATCTACGTGTACACAGAGAAAAATTTATTCACCGATATCGCGATGAAGATTACGATCCGGTCGGATACACAAAGTTCCCTTGGTGATGTACAGATTGGTGCGTGAAAGAACCTGCGTGACTTCGTCGCGTTTGAACATGGCACTTGCGGCTTTTCGTAACGTATTTAATCTCGTATTCGTGTGATACCTGAAAGAAATTACCAATTAAAACAATTGCCGTTGGCCGGCGATTACGCGGAGTTAAACTTTACGTCGTAATTTTAAGAAGCAGACTTTTCTTGTATCAATTATTGGTGTAATGCGCACCTAGCCGACACAGCTTCCTTAGTTTCCGCCAGTACAGTACTCTTCTGCGCATTGCACGTTTGCCACACCTTGCCGATGTCCGTTACGGCGGTTTCAATGTCGACGGACAAATCCTCCGGGGAAGACAGCAGGGCGTTCAACCACTTTGTGAACGCCAGCTCTTGCTGCAGCAGCCACGGCTCGTCAAAGTGCACCAAGCTGCAAGACGATCAACGCGTGTCAGGACAAGAATCGACTTCTTTGAATTCAATTAGTAATTTACGTTGCAGTGAAACGGCAAGATTCTTCCGCAAATAATTTACGAACATGAAGAATTAAATATTTGTATAAGAGACAGAATACAAAGTTATATGATATAAATTGCGGGCTCTGAATTTATACGATATCAATGTAAAATATTCTCTCTGTGCGGACTGCGGAGCTCAGCTAACTTTTTCAGAAATGGATCCTCCGTTGTGGACGGCGCGAAAGGGTCCAGTCCGCACGTTTCATAGATGAAGTACTCCTCTTTGTTTCGTATTCTCAGACTCGGATCTCTAACGGACGACGGATTGTGCCACTTCGTATCACGCAAGGTACTGAGGGACAATGCGTTCAGCTTGATCGCTGCTACATTCCTCGTATTCCCCTCTGCAATTAGAAACGCAAAAATCAGAATTGAAATTATTGAAAAATACACGTTCCGTTGATTTTTACGGCAGAGCTCACTCGCAGCAGATTCGCTTAGTTGCAACTTCTTTCGGTTTCCACTGCCGCACAGGGCACTGTTTTTTGTAACCCTGCCGGTTTTCGGGGTGTTCAGCTTCGATACCGACATAGACACCACCTTAGAGTGAAAATGCTTCTTCGGCGGAGAAATCTCGATGTACATCTCTCCCGTTTTTTGGGCGGCCTCGCCAGTCCTCGGAATGACCTCGAAACTGTAGTATTCGCAACTGGTTGTTTGGATACTTGGATTTACGTCCAGCCTGAGATGCCTCGCGTACTTGGTGGGATCTTTCGGTGTAACGTGGTGTCGAAGTTGAATCGGCGACAAAATTAAATCCTTGATGTCGTCTACGAGGTGGCATCCGTCGGGTTTAATCGGCGACAAGTTGTACACGCCCGCCGGCTGCGACGCAGTTGCCGCCTTCGTGTCGTACGTCTCAAAGCCGGACGTCTCGAAGAACTGACTGTGACTGACGTTGAACGTTCTGTGCTTGTCTACAATCTGCAAAGTTGTGGACTCCGTCGACTCCTTCCTCGTCGGCTCGGGGGAACTCGAGATCACGCCCGTGAACGTGAATTTATTCAAAAGTATGGAAAAGTCGCTCTGGGCCTTGTCTTTGTCACGGTCCGTACTTTTGTCGACCTGCCCGCTGTGCTCGTACAGCTGACCGCCGCGAGGTCCGCTCTCCTTAACGTACGTGGCTCTGCGGATATCCTGCGGCCCGTTCGTAGGCAGCAGGACCTGCGGCAGAACACTACCGTCGTTCCACACGTTCGTACCTTGCTCCCACAAGATACTCTCCCGCTTGTCGTGCGCGCTATACATTCCGTTGACTCTGCTGTCCTTCGGTCGCGACGCGCAGTCGCAGGGCTTCGCTTCGTTATTTCTGTCAAAGATATTCTCCTTGTCCAGATCTCTGTCGTACTTGGACTTGGATTGTTCTACTCGCGCGTCAAAAGTTTTCGTCAAGGACCGGCCGGCTGGGACCTTCAGCGCGCCGTTGCGATGAAATTGCCTGCTCGCCGTCGACGCGGGGAAACTCACCGAGTTCGACGACAGAGTCGGCTTCGCTCGCCTTTTGACCTTGTTGCCTTTCTTATCGTCCCTAGCAGTCGTCGCTATGACAATGTCGTATTTAATTCGTTTACTATCGGTAAGTTGCAGAATGTCTCGCCAGCATCCAGCTTCTTTGGGCGACCAGCTGATCTGTATTGTACCATTGCTGTTCCCTTCAATCTCCAGCTCGGACACGCTCAGGGCAATCCGACGCTCCGCAGACGGTAGCTTCGTCACGGACACCTAAAAGATATCGTTAAAGGAACAAAGTTGAATGAAAAGTTACGAGAACGCTGAGAAATATTGTTTTACACAGTTATTTGCATGCAGTTGTACGTGAGAGAGGAATCGATATTCAGTTTGAGGAATACATTTCTCGTACGTTTAACGTCTTGTCGCCAGCGTTTCTGACATCTAGATGACACTCTACAGTGGTGTTTATTTTTGTGTCCAGCTCGATCCTCGTCGCCGGCTGAAACGGGGCGAGCAGCATGCTGTAACGAAGCCTGTCCAGGTTCCCGACCTTGGACTCTGGATTGGACGGATCCATCCCGTGCAATCTCACTCGGTAAACTGTAATTCAGATATACAGGGTCGCAAATCGCTCGACCGGCAGTACAAAACCTGCGGAACGTTCCGTTTACAGAAACGCAGCGATTGAAGTGTTATCAGGCGTAACGGAAGGTGCGTTGTTTATTTTGTCGCGGTCCTCACGTCGTACTTTGGCACGTCTCTAGCCCGGGAACTCGCATCTTCTCGAGTTAAATGCACACTGAGAAAGGGATGGCTGTTCCATCAACGGTAACGGACTCTATCAATTCAATTTGAACGAGCGGAGACTCGCACCGAGCAGGGCTGCCAACGTTCGGAGCAGCGTTTTCGGCAGTTTCTTATGTGTAAAAACATTCGGGCAGGTTTTCAACGTCCATTTCTACCAATGCAGATTTAATTTACATTTCTAATCTATAATAAATCAGTTTAACTTACTTTTTATCTCCTTCTAGGAATTAGAAAAGGATAAAAATGAATTAAACCGAGATCAAAGTTAATCTAACTGTTGGTGAAAGTAAACTTAAAAATTTCACAGTGACAACAGGCAAGATTAAATCACGGTGTTTGCGCAATTGCAAAAGCAACGATCTTTATCGACGTCGAGCTGACAATTCGTATAGTCGACAAACAAATTCCGACAATCAGAATAGCTGACTATAGAGACATTTTCCCTGGAACCTCCATGACAGTTACGATTCTGTAAAAGGCGGCAAACGCGCGCCGCTAGCGGCAGGAAGCGGCGGCCAATCGCGTGCCGAGACTCGGCCGCTACCCCCGGGCGACCAGGCGGCCGATTGGCTGTCGCGCGGGACATGTGCCATTCCCCAGAGTTCCTCTGTCTTCCCCTCCCCCCCGACCCCACGCGCATCCGCGCCCGAAATAGAAGGCAACGACAGCCGGGGGGGATCGGCCGGATTCGTTCACCCGCACGTACATTGTTCACCATCATTCCACTGCGGGCCCCGTGTTTATGTTAAACGATTCGGTGTACACCGCGAGCGATTCGGGGCTCGACTTGGAGCGAGCACGACGAGTAACTCGGCCAGCACGCGAGTCCCCGCTCGAGCCCGTCCGTATTGTTTTATTATTAATAAGAGAAACTCGGCGGCGGTTCGCTCGTCCGATGTGTCCGTCACGGCGGTGAAACTCCAGGCGGACGAACGACGACGACGACGACGACGAGGATAACCCGTGAGTACTCGTGTGTAACTTTTCTCTCGTCGTAGGCACTTCGCACCGTCACCTGCTTGTACCTCGCGTTTGTCCGACAGCTACTCCACAATTTGACGCCCCTTCTACGGGTCCTAAAGCGCCGATCGGGACTACGAGGCCTCGTACGGGCACGTGAGAGCCGTTAGCGGCGGCTGTGCTTTCCGGCGGGGGACCCGCGATCGGCTTCAGCTTCGCGCCGTACGATGGCCGAGTCCAGCGACTTGGATCGGCAAATCGAGCAGCTGAAGAAGTGCGAGATCATCAAGGAGGCCGAGGTGAAAGCCCTGTGCGCGAAGGCGCGAGAGATCCTCATAGAGGAGAGCAACGTGCAGCGCGTTGACTCGCCTGTCACGGTAACTATCTCTGCTTCTCGCGAAAGCGGAGGCGACACCGGCCTCGGTGAGATCACCGAGCCGTTTTCACACATCGAAGCCTACACGCGATCTGTTCTGCTTAGGTTTGTGGGGACATCCATGGCCAGTTTTACGATTTGAAGGAGCTGTTCAAAGTAGGCGGAGATGTGCCAGAGACAAATTACCTTTTTATGGGAGATTTTGTAGACAGAGGTTTTTATAGCGTCGAAACGTTTCTTCTTCTACTTGCGTTAAAGGTATGTCGAAGTATAAACATGTCTTGCTTATCTCAAGCACTTGGACGATGATTGGTCGCGCGGTACTTTGCAGAAATATGCATTTAAATTTACGCTTTCAATGTATATATTTTTATATGTATATTTATAATGTCGACGTATTGATTCGACTCGAATACAAACAAGAACGCCACGTCATACTTGGGTCCGGGCAAGCTGGAGGTAGCGTAGTAATTTGTTAGTTTAAAACGTGAATTCATCTACCATATTTTTCCAGCCAGAAATTGAAAAATTACCAGGCTGCTCCCGGCTTGCCCCAAGTGTGATTTGGCGTTCTTGTTTGTATTCGAGTTATATCTTAAAAAGGTCCTTACAAAAGGTCCTTTAGTTGTGAATATCTTGCTTTCGATATAAGTTTAACTCTTGCTCCTCATATTTGGATAAAAATCATTAAAATCCGAAACGGCTGGCAGGATTGCTATTGTAATTTTATAGTTTGTGTCTCGTCACAGGTTCGTTATCCCGACAGAATCACGTTGATAAGAGGAAATCATGAATCGCGGCAGATAACGCAAGTTTATGGCTTTTATGACGAGTGCTTGCGCAAATACGGCAGTATAACAGTATGGCGGTACTGCACAGAGATATTTGACTATTTATCGTTATCTGCCATTATTGACGGCAAGATCTTTTGTGTTCACGGTGGATTATCGCCTAGTATCCAGACATTAGATCAAATCCGGACTATTGACAGAAAGCAAGAAGTGAGTCCCCTTTATTACGTTCTGTACGTCATAATTCTTTTGTAATGATAATGCAGCAAAAATGCCCTGCTCTGACCCACTGAAGTTAATATATACAGCTCTGACCGAAATTAATATATTTGAATGCGTCAACCTCACATCCGAAACGTTCAAACTGATGTCATTACAATTGCTAATTATCGTGAAAAGGAATTGTGAATCTTTCCACTCCGTGAAAAACTGGGTTTCTTTTCTCTTTCAACTTGTTAATCGTTATTATTATTTAAAGATTTCTGTCCGCGAAGAAATGACACGTATTGTCGCATGTTTAGTCCCAGTTACCTTGAGATTCGTGTTTTTATCAGAGTGAAATGTTTTCCCTCAAAAATTCCCAGCGTTATATGCGGGTAGCGGCAAGTATTGAACTTGGGTCTTTTGCTTGCTAAACAGACTGCTCTGTCACTGATCTGTCTAGCGCATTCTGTGGTCTCGAGATTAGAAATTCAATTTTCTTATTTCTGAAGGTGATCTTTGTAGCATTTCAAAATGTTAAATTACTTATGCAGGTTCCTCACGATGGGCCGATGTGCGATTTGCTATGGTCAGATCCCGAAGACACCCAAGGCTGGGGTGTGTCGCCGCGCGGCGCCGGCTATCTCTTCGGCAGCGATGTGGTGGCGCAGTTCAACTCCGCTAACGATATCGATATGATTTGCCGAGCCCACCAGTTAGTAATGGAAGGCTACAAATGGCACTTTAACGAGACTGTATTGACCGTCTGGTCTGCGCCAAATTATTGTTACAGGCATGTAGTATCTGCACTCACGATATCTGTGTCTCTCTGGTAAAACTGTGTATATTGCACGATTAATGAGATATTTGTTTCAATCAATTTATATCTAGTCGTGTACAGTGAGTCACAAAATTGATCGAATATGCTACGCAATTATTTACGACTAGCTGATTCATAGGTGATCGACGAAGACGTTCCGATATCAACATACAGACAAGTAGATAGCTGTGATCTTGCTACAGACATCTACGTTTTTCGAATTTTCAAACGGAAATGTCTTACCACGGTATGATCAGATCAGTTTTGTGAGTCACTGTGTAAAATCTTTGTCTATCCAGGTTTTTTGTTCGCTCTTATCGTATTTTTCTCTACCGATATATTTTATACTTTCATTAAAATACTTGAATTACAAACGTCGTGGTACTTCAAACTATATTAATTGCTTCTCTGATTGCAGATGTGGCAACGTAGCCGCAATACTGGAACTGAACGAGCATTTGCAGAGAGACTTTACGATATTTGAAGCGGCGCCGCAGGAAAGCCGCGGAATACCAAGCAAGAAGCCACAAGCGGATTACTTTTTATAAACGAGCCATTATAGAGTACAAAAGAATTCATCAGCATCATGTCAGATTGACTTGGGGAATCTGTCTCTCTTCTTCTCTTTCCCTCTTTCTCAGATCAGTTCCCGTTGATTGCGAAGAAGAGCAACTAAGAATGAGCGACTGTTTGTGAGAAAGATAAATTGCTATTATTTTTTATGGCGACATGATTTTTGTGATTATGTTGAGTCGTTTATCGCACATTCGGACGAAACTGCGACAGTATGCCTGTAAGAAACTAATGTAAAATAAAATAAAACACCGGTTTAAGCTAAACGTGGCTCCGTTGTCTTCGGCGCAATTTCAAAAATTATCAAGAAACCGATTACCAGTTGATTGGCTGCACGTCTCTTAAAACTAGAACTTGACCAAGTTCCAGCATCGTGGACACAAGCCTTGAGGAGCGGGGCTATTGGACAAGCCGGGCCCGCTCGCGCCAATCGCTTCCCTCGACGGGCGCGCGCGCGCGCCAATCGGCGCTCGCCCGCCGGGGCCGTGACGTCACCGGCGGCGTCCGCGAATCGCGCGCCGCGCGGACCGCCCTGGCGCGCTTTGGGAACGCGCGCCGACCGCGCGCAACCCCACCCATCGCGCCGTGACAAATGCAACTTTTACTTCCGGCTGCGTACACGGCCATCGCGCTTGGTTTCGTCAACTCCGTTCTCCGCTGGTGTCCACGCTAGTGCCGTTCCGTGTGCCCGATCCTAGCCCAGGCTTCTCTCTCTCTCTCCACGCCCGTCGTTCTGCTCCCCACGACCGTCACTTGCGCTCCGCAGTTCTATATCATCCGAGGGATCTCTTTTGTTTGTCGTATGTCCATCCAGAATCTCAACACATTCGGTGAGTAGAGCGAGACGCGCATTATCGCGTCCGTCCCCCCCAGCCATCCCCCCCTTCCCTTCTCCCGCCCGTTCGTCCGCGCGCTGGCCTCTCCGCGCCTTTTGCCTCCGTCGCGCCCGTCGACCGCGTCGCCGTCGCCGCCCCGTGCACGGCCGTCCTCCGCGTACGAGGGCGATAAAACGCGGGGGGCACCGCCGCCGCCGCCCGCTGGACGCGGGGGGGGGGGGGGGGCGTCCCCCTCGTGCCGATGGAAAATGGCGACGGCGTTGCTCTCGCGCGCGCGGCCCTCCTTGCATCATCCTGCGCAATCCGCCCTGGCGATGCCGCCGCCGCGGCGACCGCGTCTCTCTCTCTCATCGCCGCCCCCCTTTTCGCCTGTTCGCAGACCCCTTTGCAGATGCAATCAAGGGTTCAGACGATGACGTCCAGGACGGCCTCGTTCATATAAGGATCCAGCAGCGGAATGGTCGCAAGACCTTAACAACGGTGCAAGGACTCTCCTCGGAATATGACTTGAAGAAAATCGTGAGAGCATGTAAAAAGGTGAGCACGCGTGTTCGTGTGTGCGTGTGCGCGCGCGCGCGCGTGTCCCGACGCTCGCCCTCCTCTCCGCGGGTCGGGTAGAGGAGAGGGGGTGGGGATCCCTGCCTTCCTTTCTCCTGCCCTCTCCGTCATGGCCTCACCGCTTCCTCCATCGTCGCGCTTGCCTCCCTCCCTCTCCGCAGCCTCTACCCCCCCCCCCCACCACCGCCGCCGGCCGGTCAGGCAGAAACTCTAAAAATAGGTCTGATGCAAACAACCACGGCGATACAGGCCGGACAGACGTAGTTTTGCAAGTTCTAGGAATGCGCGGCATCCGAATGCATCTACAAGTGGTTTGACATATAGAATAAGCCTTTGTCTCGTTTCGGTGATCGTCGACGTCGTCGCCGATGACTTGGCGCCTTTATAAAAGACTCCTTGTACGCCGCCGTCGATGAATCATCGACGTTTCGCATTGGGGGGAAAATATCCGAGCGTTCGCTCGCACTTTTCTCACCTCGATACCCATTTGTCCCGGCGAAGTGAGAAACCCGTGCGTATCGAGGGTTATATTTTTACGCGCGGCAACGTGGACGATTTCGGTGAATAATTTGTACGATTGTACCGGCAGAAATCGAGCCGAGGTCAATACTGACTGGGTCGTCGGGAGGAGACACAACTCTACATAAAATCCGTATATCTTTATTAGAAATCATCGCGCACTTGTACGATCTTTTCTGATGTCGAGTCAATTGATTTTTTTTTATACGCGGGTATTAATAAAAGAACCTCGTAGTTATATCGTCGCGGTGTCCATTGATGGTGCCGAGACCGCGGTGGAGGGAAGCTGTATTTTGTAAAAAATTATCTTACCGCGATAACTGCATCCGGGGACTTCCGAGCGCGTTCCCTTGGGAGATAAAAGGCCCAACCGGTCCCCGCGGAAGTGCACCTAGATAAATGGCCCCGGGCAAGGAGCGGCCGACTGACTTGTCGTTGTTTTCACAGGAGTTTGCCTGCAATGGGACAGTAATAGAGCACCCGGAGTACGGGGAGGTGCTGCAGCTGCAGGGGGACCAACGAGAGAATATATGCCAGTGGCTGACAAAGTCTGGTCTGGCAAAACCTGACCAGCTCAAGGTCCATGGTTTTTAATCGACTAACAACAGCAGCAACAATTACCATCCATGCCACAACCTACAACAACAGCAAACAGCTCCGCCCCTCGTCAGCGCTACATGATCGTCTCAAATTGAATCTGTATATCACTCATTAAACTCCTCGTGGGATATCCCAATTATACTATCACGCCAACATATAAATATATATATAAACACATATATATACACGTACATACACGCGCGAGCACATATATATTTCAGTAATAAAAACAAAGGAACAAGAAAGAACGAAAGAAAACAAAACGATACGGAGAGGGAAGTAAACGATAGAGGATAAAAGGCGAATAAAAGGAAGGAGGTAGAAAGGTGTAGCGAAGAAAGGGAGGATATATAGGCATATAACCGGCGTATACCTATAGGCAATATCTATTCTAATCAGAATCTTTCTCTCGAGATAAAAAAGAAGCAATACGTCACACTGTAAGCCTTATGTTAGGTGATAGCGGCTGTTGAGGTAGGAACTCCCTGCCTTGCAGCAGTGGACAGGACATCTGATTTTGATAAACATCGAGGAGGAGGAGGAGCAGGAGTTGGAGGAGGAGGAAGAGAGGCACAGATGAACGAACGGTAATTAGCATCGCCGGATGGATGTTCGTTCTTGCATTAGGTAGTATGTATCTGGGCGCGATAGACGTGTTCCGAGAAGGCGGTAAAGCTGTAGGTTGATTCGACTCTCTCTCTCCCTCCTCGCGCCCGCCATACTCTTCTCCGCGTCCCCCTCGTCTCGTAGGGAAAACTGAGAATTTTTCTTTTTTACGTTTGTATCTGGAAAATTTAACGAGAGCGCGCGCGCCCACGCTCGTCCTCGATCGCGATCATTTGTTGAGTATTTCCAGGGCCGATTTCGATTCTTCCTTTCGCGTAGAGGACATCGCTCCTTCGCTCCCCCGTAATCACGTCTTCGCTCTTGCTTTCCCACCCTCCCCCCTTTTTAAGACAGTAATAAATTAAATGACGAATTGTTTTGAAATAATAATAATGAGAGTTAATAAAATGTGGCTGTTCTAGATAAATAAACGGCGAGTCGATGAATGGGACACGACGTCCCGCTTTCCCTGCCCTTTCGTCGTTTTGAGACTACGAAGTGGAGAGTTGCGATTAAGTTTGTCGGGAATCGCGCGCGAAACGCGTCGAGTATGTTGGAAATACGTTCGGTCCTCCCGCCCGTTCGATCTCGGAGAAGCGCGGACAGCGGGGACGCAGTCCCCCTCTCGTTAATTAATACCTTTTCTCGCGTGTTCATCAAAACGTGATGGGGAAAACAAGTAAACCGTAGCCGCGCGGTTTGCGTACGCATCGAAGCCGATATCTATCGCCGTGTGATCGCGGGTACACAAATGTCGCGTTAAACGCGCGTATAGTTAACGAAAAAATCATTAGATAAGCTATCGTTGTTTATCGATTACGTTTGCGCCACGCTCGTCGCAATCGTCGTTTCGTAGAATCTCGATTTCCTCGAATTAATTTAGCGGACGACAGCGAGATTGGAACGAAACGAGATCCGCGCGAGGCACTTTTCCATCTCGCTGCGTATTTTGCTGTTTGCTCGAGGAAGAAGTCGGGGGGGAAGAGTCGAAATTGTCGAAAAGACGGGCGTCCTACGCGCGCGCCCGTTTACTCGGCGGGGGGGGGGGCAA